TTTGTGTTTTTTGGGGGGGGTTCAACAATCCAAAAACCCCCCAACCCCCTCAACAAACACCCAAAAAAACCCCCCCCCCCCCCCTAAAAAAAAAAAAAAAAAAAAAAAAAAAAAAAAAAAAAAAAACCTATACTTTCTTTCCCAGCTCCAGCAAATTTGACTGACGCCACAACCCCCTTCGTGCGCAAAAAGAAGAAACATGGCGAAACGCACTCACCAGAGCGAAGATAACCCACAGGTTAGAGAAAAGAAAAAGTCAAAGAGTAACGGACATTCCGACAAGAAAGACAGGAAAGATAAGAAGACCGAATTGCATCCCTCAGGCGATGATATACCTCAATCAGAAATTGATCATTTTCTTGAGAAGAATCTAATCAAGATCACCGATACAGCATCTGAAAAGGAGTCACCTCGCCCAATTTTGTCCTTTTCTCAGCTCCCACCTCATCATGGTGACCTCTACAGCCCTCTGAGCTCGTTCACCGCCCCAACATCCATTCAGTCAACCACCTGGCCATTACTCTTCGCCGGCCGAGATGTCATTGGCATCGCGGAAACTGGGAGTGGAAAAACCCTTGCTTTCGGCCTCCCATGTCTAAAGAAAATGCAAGAATCTGTCAACAAGTCGAAATTCAAACCCGCTCGTCCTCTGGCTGTGATCATGTCTCCTACCCGAGAGCTAGCCATGCAGATATACGATCAACTCTTGAAATTCACAAAATCAATTGACATCCGCTTGGCCTGTATCTACGGTGGTGTGAACAAGGATGAGCAGCGTGAGAACCTAAAACGGGCGGCTGTTGTTGTTGCGACCCCCGGTAGACTGAAGGACCTTCAAAATGACGGATCAGTGGACCTGGGGAAAGTCAAGTACCTCGTTCTGGATGAAGCCGATCGTATGCTTGACAAGGGTTTTGAACAGGATATTAAGGACATCATCCTCCCTATGCCCACATCCCGCCGTCAGACCGTTATGTTCACGGCGACCTGGCCCCCTGTCGTGAGAGATCTTGCATCGACTTTCATGAATACACCGGTCACTGTTACTATTGGTGGGGAACCATCAGCCGATCCACGGGCAAACTCGCGGATAAAGCAAGTTGTGGAAGTGGTCAAACCGCATGACAAGGAGTTTAGACTTGTTCAGTTACTGAACCAGTCTCAGCGCGCAGCGAATCCGGACAAGGTTCTAGCGTTTTGCTTATACAAGAAGGAGGCAATGCGAATTGAAAGGCTGCTCCGCGCAAAAGGATTCCGAGTTGCCGGTATCCATGGTGATTTGAGTCAGCAAGAAAGATTCAAAAGTCTGGATGCTTTCAAGACTGGAAATGCTACAGTTCTCGTTGCAACTGATGTGGCAGCTCGTGGTCTTGACATACCCGCAGTTAAACTTGTCATTAACGTCACGTTCCCGCTAACTGTGGAGGATTATGTGCATCGGATTGGCCGGTATGTTCGCTCCTTCTGTACCTGATGAGCTGACTGACGCTGTCCTTAGAACTGGCCGTGCTGGAGCCGAGGGTAACGCAATAACCCTCTTTACAGAAACAGATAAAGCTCAATCCGGAGCGTATGTGACCAAATATAGAAAATCCTGCATTGACCTTTCCGGCTGATATCTCCTCAGGTTGATCAACGTTCTCAAGGCCGCGAATCAAGAGGTACCAGAAGATCTTCTCAAATTTGGCTCAACTGTCAAAAAGAAGCAACATGGCGCATATGGCGCCTTCTTCAAGGATGTCGACTCCAGCAAAGCAGCCACAAAGATCACGTTTGATGATTGAAACGAACGTCATTCTGTCTTCCCTCTGAACTTAAATCTTCTTATCATTTGTCGGCCTTGGTCGATATTTGCCAAAAGAAAATTTCTCTCAAGGAACACGCTGTATATAAATTAGAGTCTTCATTGTTCTGTCGATGGGTTCAACTTACACCAGCAGAGTATATCCAGTACAAATAGCCAGATCCTTGATAATGCTGTGGAAATCGTCATCGAATTGCCCGTGTCTGGTAAACGTAATTGATGCTATGATCGCCGAGATCAGAGTAAGTGGCCTCGGGATAATTTCAGTTAGAGCTATGTTATTATGGTCATTGCGACAAAGGTATGATCGGATGAAAAGGAGGCTCCATGTTATCCGGATCGCCATATTGAAGATATTGGCCCATACCAAGCCGCGAGCACCCAAGTCACCAATTATTAATAATAAGTAGGCCGCTACAGCAAGACATGCCGAAAAGACACCCATCCAGCGCGCCTGCCGTCTCAAGTCTGAAGCACTCGCTGCGGATGAGACAAACGCCTCCGTTATACCGTTGAATGCGAGAAATGGTATGTAGTAGCAATAAAGAGATAGCAGACTGTTGACTTCAGAAGAAGCCCACCTGCGTCCGCCTAAAATGTGGAGCGCTCGGGGCACCACGTATGGACCCAAAGGCACAACTAAAGCGGAGAAAAGCCCATATACCCGCAATATGTTGATTAAATGTGTCCTGGCCGTACCTAGGGTGCCTTGGCTCCGTTCTCTGCTCTTTCCAGAATTCAACAGGGAAGAAAATAGGGCCCGGCTGCTTTCTTCGATTGGTTGAAACACGACACGGGCTATGAGGCCCCCATAGTTGGACGCCAAAGAATAAATACCCTGATCCTGTAGGCTCGCCATCGCAGTCAACATCATGGAATCCCCTTGCGTCAGGAGGTGTTTTAAGATGGATTGCAAAAAGATGGCTGCACACAATGAGACTAGTCGCCTGGGAAATCTGCCGACTATATAGGATGAGTTGTCACTGGGATGTTGTTATCAAATGAGATCCTCGAGTTCGTTTGGTTGCGCTTTCATCATACCTTGCGCTTATCAGTTTCGGTAGCAATGAAAACGACCATTGGGTCGCAGAGCTTAGTAGCGATACAGCGTAGCCACAGGTGAGTGTAATTGCATAGCAGAGGTGGCCTAATGCAAATGGGAGGATGCCAATATTTCGGCCTGCCTGGGCAGCCCATAGAACGGAACCGCACACTGCCAAACTCTTTGCAAAAGATGCGGTCATTTCGACTAGCGCTCGCTTTTTATAAAGCATATGTTGCTGGACGACTGCGAAAAAGGGCTCGGAGGAAAGTTCTATAACAGACGCTATAGTGGTGATAAGCACGCTTAGGTGATAAAATTCCGCTCGAGAAACGTCCTTGGAAGCCAATTGCGTGTAAAAAAGCGCAGATATCACGGCTAGTGGAAGCCCCAGCCCGAGGCTCAAGTATGACATATTGACCACTGATTGAGAGGCGACAAGTCGGGCTTCCGTGATTTCGCTGGCATTTTCTTTTTGCGTCTGTCCGCCGCCCTTCTCGTTAACGGTCCCGGTATGGCCTGCATATCGTAATGGTTGTCGTTGAATGGCGATTCTAACGGACTCTCGGGAGAAATATAAGATTGAGATGGAATAAAGCTCAAGCTGGGCGGCAATTCCCAAAGTTTCTGGGTGCAGGTTTCGCAGGATGAGTTGATTTGACACGAAAGTAAACAGCTTTGAGGCCACCTGAACAGCTATCAACAGGGTGGCACCAGTGGCTGAAGAGGCTAATATATTGCCGACATCCTGGTCGGGTTGGGGCATGTTGACATATGCGGACGAGCTTTAGCCCATTGAAAAAGTCAATGTCTTTTGCTGTTTATCCATAAGAGAGCAGAAATAGGTAACGTCGTGGTCGGTAGCTAAAGCAAAGGTACGCGAAGTAGCTACTAGCAAGTAGTACCCGCCGCGTTGCGGGGATCGCGACCGGGCGGACGCCGGCACCAAAGGTCCATGCGGGCATAGAAAAGACTACTCCATAGGCTACACATGGCCAAGTTACAGACTAATACAGGGGTCTCCAAGACATATGCTGTATCTTGCTAGCTTGGAAAATTCTACCCAGAATCTAGAATACATTCAAAATCCACCAGTCCGGGCACGAATATTCACTGACAATCCCATCGATAGCTCATTGTTGATCCCCCCGTAAAAATGAATGCCACGCCTCAACGGCCTAGGGAGACTGGAGACTAGAACGGCGGCAAGAAGAAGGGATATCCGCCATTTTTGGCTTTGAAAACACTGAGAAGGAAACTATACATACCAAGCAACACGGTTCCCCAGATTACCACGGCGACCTGCTGCGCCTTATTATCCGCAATGCGAGGAACCTTCATTGCTATGGCAATTGTCGCGAAGGAGAGAACGGCATCTTTCAAAGACCACTTATCAGCATTTATTGATTCCAACAAGGCCCCCGCCTACTCGTTCTTTCTTTTCCTCGACTAGGGAGGGGACAAGACTTACAAATAGCAGCGACAATCTGCGTTTCCATTCCAAACTGATTGGAAAACCCGCCGGCAAAGTAGCTGATACCACCTTTGCCATCACCAACAACATATGGTACTTTGCGAATATGGTTGAACATATGGCCGCTGGTGAATAATAAGATAGCAATCAGACTGCATGCGGCCCACAGGTTACGATTCTGGATGATTGGTAGAACGTAGGGAGAGAGGACAGTGAACATAGTCAATGTCCCCATCAACAGCGTAACGGCAGTTATCAGCCTCATGTAATTTATGGGGCGAACGAGGGGTGGTTTCGAGCCTTCTGGCAGATGTCTATTGATCCAAGTGTACAACTGGTCGGCCGAGATTGGACTGGTACGGTCAGTAGACAATTCACTCCGCGCCGCGGGGAAGAAGATCGCTATTGCAGTGTATGCTTACCCGCTAAAATCAAATCTGAAAGGAGAATCATCGACCTTGGCGAAAGGGCCAACGGTTGGCGGAAAGACAAGGACGACAGGTGCGGTTTGTAGCATCAACTTCATTACCGTAATGTTAGTTTGCTTCCAACTGAGCCTACACAAGTGAAATTGCATACCTTTTGAAACGTAGCCTTTCCTTGGCTGAAATCCAGAGTAGCGAAAAGTAACTTTAGCTCATCAGATTTTGAGCCCTTGTTCCAACTACGAGCGATGAGCTCCCATTCTGGCTGAAAGTCGCGGCATAAGATGCATCCATATCGCGCATCTGTGGCAGTGAGGATAACTGCAACATGATAGTCCCGGGGTTTCGAAGTCAAGTCCTCATATAGGGAATCATCTAAGTCAAGGGGACCAGAGCGAGAAAGTGACAGGTACTTCTCAAACTTGCTTGGACTCGGAGTTGCGGCAAAGGCGCAGGTTATCACCCAGAGGAATGTCACTATCGGAGTAAAGAGCTTCATGTTGACATGGCAAGTTTCAATGCACGGTGACGGTGACGGTGACGGTGACGGACTGGGAATTCAGAGACTGGCACCCGTGTAAAGACAGAAGACAAGCGGATCGAACGGGAGAATGTAAACTGCGTCAAAGGACAGTGGTGCAGACGGCAGACTAGTCTTTGAGGTATATTAATATTAGGTGTCCACTAGGTACCTGGGTGCACTAGTACATGCCAGGTAGGCCCGGGTGCTGCTGCTCTGCTTTACGGTGCCGACGGCGGAGTTCCGTGCTGAGCAAGGAAGACGGACTTATTTTCTTCCTTCCGATGTTCAAAGGCACCCGTCGGGTCGCCGAGGTATGTTTATTACCACTGCCTCGCACCCCCTATCCCTTCCTTTCCCTCCTTTCAAAGAAACGTATATATAGAGCGCGCGGTTACTTAATACAACAGGTACACAGTCTCAATTACTCGGCACGGTGTCTTGCCTTTACCATGAAGCCGGATAATCATGACTCGGAGTGTACTGTAGATGATGTATGTGCAGCATTTCAATCCGGAGGAATGATTGGGGAAAACAATTTAGAATCCAGTGGCCTAACTCTATTCACCAGTGTCAAATGGCCCTTAGAACAGTGCGCTTTGAAAAAGAGCTCCAGGATGTTTTTGGGAAGACAGCACAAATTTTGGGGACTGAGGAAACGCGCGTCAACCGTGTGGAACAGTTATTGCTCCAGTTCGAGAACGAAAACCTGCGCCTGCAGCTGGACCAGACCAACCTCAAGCTCAGCAAGGCCTTGAACGCGGAGTCTGATATTCGCTATCGATTCCAGGCGGCTTGTGCCGAGCTTGACCATCTTCGGAGTGCCTCGCGCATCTCATCTAGCGAGATAGAAGGCCTTCAGGTGCGTGACCTTGCGATCTCTTTCTTTTTTGAAATGGCTAAGCCTGGATATGGTGATAGTGTAAGCTTGCTTCCTTAGCCAGCGCCAGCTCCGACTCTCAAAAGGTTGTTGCGGACAACATCCGTCTCTCAAAGGATCTCACTGCCATACAATCAGAGGTGGAAGCGCTCCGGGCCCAGGAGACTTGTTCTCGTATCCCATTGACGGAAAAACATGATCTGGAGCGTCAATTGAAATCGCTCGAGTTGAGCATGGCCAACGAAAGAAATATCCATGAACACACGTTAGCCCGAGAATCGCAGCAAGCCAAAGAGATAGCGGCACTCAACGCACGTCTAGAAGAACAAAGTCGAAGAATTGCAGAAGAGGTGCAGGCGCGGAATTTCCGCGAACAGGAGATCCGTCAACAGAGTCTCGAATGGACGGCCCAACGGATTTCCCTAGAGAGAAGATTAGAGACTCTAAACCAAACATCACACTCGACTAATGACGTTCCCCAGGTAGGCTCAAATGACAAACAGTGGGCGCATGGAAACTCGAATGACACGGAGCCTCGTAACCCTATTCGCCGAACCCACCCCAAAACTCAACAGTCCGCTTCAAGGTTTAACGCGGAGCTAACTATTGCAACGCCCGGGGCAATTCACGCCCGGGAGAGGAAAAAGAAATCGTCGGCACTACCCGGTGACAAGTCTTCGTTTTCAATAACGCCTTTTCTAAACCGTACAGGCGGGCTCCCAGACTCTCCCATTAGCTCTGATGGCACAGACGAGCTTCATACAAGCCAGGCCCTCTCTAAGGCTAGCCCGACCAACAACAACAATAACTCTCAATCTAAGCATCAGCCAACGTTGGCGGGTAAATCAGTTCCCCGACTCGCGCAAAGACAACCATTTGAACCACCGGCGTCGATCATCAACACCAAACCGAAAGCCATCCAGAAGCCGTCAAACAGATTAGACACTGAGGGCTCTGCTGACGGAACTTCTACACTGGTCACCCACTTGACTACCCACGCACAATCTAGGCCAAAGAAACGTAAACTAGGTGCACAGCGCGAGAAGAACCTATTCGATGGGGAGGACGAAGACGATGAGCTACAAGACATCAAAAAACCGGGCCGCAAGCTTGCTCCCGGTAGCAACACCAGCCGAAATACTGGCCTTGATCTTGGGCCATTGTCTGTTTCGACTGGCAGCCACCTGTCGAGAAACCGAGACCTTGGTGCATTGTCAGACTTCTCGCCCCTGAAACGCGATAAAAGACGACAGTGACGCGTATAATTGCCAGGAAAGATAAGTGAACAGAGACTTTCTCTACCAGCAAAAAGGGACGGCTCGAGGACAGGCTAGAAGTGTCAGTCTACCGAGACAAAGCATGTTCATAACCATTGCCCCCATGCAGTCGGGAGTATGGTTGCTTGCATATTGCGATAATTTACCTAGAGATCTTCCTTGTATTCCAAACTCCTTCCACCGTTTTCAGGCAAGGGACATCAAATTGCCACAGAAACACAGTATAATGTCTTGAAGTTTCAGGGAAGCTGGAGGTGATTTACTATTTAGTCGGCGAGCCACTTCCTGCTTTCAATTCATGGACATTACGGCGGTAAGCCCATGGTGTATATTCATGATCCCGGAAACTGGCCGCACTTGGTTTCATTTCTCTTGGATCCTATGCCTACAAATAGCTATACACATATTTATACACAGTAGAAGTGACAACGATGCTTAATTCCGCATAGATGGTTACGTTGTAGTTATGGAGTTGTGCAATTAATTCCCGACCCCGTTGGGCATAGTGGCGAGCCTGAAAGATGACACTCCACATTCCGTACATTAGGTAGTGCGCTTTGGACTGTCGGAAGGAAACCCCATGCAAAGTGGACCGAATCTGGCTTTTTGGTCTTTCGAGGTAGAAGAAGAGAAGCAATCAAGGATTATAATACATTTGCCTCCCTCTTCAAACAACACACTCTACTGTAAAAGTTCAGGAAGTTTACTCTTTCTTCATTAAACTCAACATTATCGAAACTTCTGCTTGCCATGTCTTCGTCTTTGGTGCGCTTGCCCCAACAACCGCGGTTGCTATGTACACATCTTCCTCTCTTATTCAAAAGACAATCTTCGTCGAAGAGATGGCAAGCTCGTCAAACAAAGGACCGTTTTACGAAGGAAGCAGCAGCTCAGGGGTTGAAAAGTCGAGCGGCTTTCAAGCTCTTACAGGTATCATGAGCCCAGCCCCCGATATCCTTTGGTTCATCACTCAACTCTAACCTACACTCGGGCAGATTGATGAAAAGTACCGCATCTTCAGAAGCGGCCAAACTGTTGTCGATTTGGTAAGGCGAGAAATTCCGTGATAGGTCGATTTTTGGCTTATGTGATGAAACATAGGGATACGCTCCGGGCTCCTGGTCTCAGGTATGCTTGTTGTCTTCAGAATGAACCACGCTCTCAGCTCATGTTCTCAAGATGGCCGTCATTCGTACGAAACCGAACGGTCGCGTCCTGGGCGTTGATATTAACCCGGCTCAGCCTTTGGAGGGTGTATCCGCGATACAAGGGAACTTTCTCGACCCCAAAGTTCAAGCTCACCTTCAAATGCTTCTGGGGGGCCTGGAAAGAGACAAGTCTTCTGAGTTCGACAACCGTGACCCCTTTCCATCGGTAGTTTCGGATACGCGCAGCGTAAAATCGAGGGACAACTCGAATAGCACATTCCAAGACAATGGCGAGAGAACAGTAGATGTTGTTCTCAGCGATATGTCTGCCTCCCACCCCAGCTACTCCTTTCTTTTCTTTTCTTTCCTTCCTCTCCTTTTCATTTTTTTGGGAGTGGGGCGCACTAATACCCACGTAATAGGATGATGAATACAAGTGGCATAAATTCAAAAGACCATGCTGGAAGTATGGTGAGTGTTCCCTGTACCCTCCACATATTTGGACCCTGACTCAATCAGACCAAGGACCTCTGCCACGCTGCGTTGCTCTTCAGTTACAAGGCTTTGAAAATTGGTGGCCACTTCATCTGTAAATTTTACCAAGGCGCTGAGGATCGTGACTTGGAATCTCAACTTAAAGCGCTCTTTGAAAAAGTACATAGGGTCAAGCCACAATCGTCGCGCAACGTATGTATTATGATTAAAGGAGAGTTTCTCGAGATAGCGTTACTGATTCAATGATCAGGAATCCAAGGAGGCATTTTTCATTGGCCTCCGTCGCAAACAAACAGCCAAAGGTGAACCATTCACTGGGACTTACGACGAAGACGCAAAATAGCGGACGCCCATGCACACACTCAAAAGCTAGGAGTGTTGGCCTTATATTGCCACTTCTTCCTCTTCAGACAATTCATCCCATTCTATGTCGGCAATCGTTGCCTCGGCTTTTGATTGAACCTTGCAGCTTTTCAGTTATTGCGCTTGGGGTGTTGATGTGTGGAGACGGGACTAATGAGAGTGACTAACCTCCTTGAGTCCGCTTAATTCCTCGACATACCCCGGTTCATTCAATGCTTTCTGCACAAATTCCCAGCCTTGTCTCTTATAGGCGCCAACAATGTTGTCCGAACAGGCACTACAACATGGGTAGCTCCTCCCGTGGATAGTAATGTTGTGAAAATTTGAGAGAAATCCTCGAATTTGATGTGGCACTAGACCCAAGGGGTGATCTTTTTGATCATCGCTTTGGGATACCGGGGCTGGGGCTGCAGCTCCGTCAGGATGCTGGAGGAGCGAAACAAACAGTTCAACTAAGAGAGCGGAGGCAATGGCAGCTACACCAGGTCTAGTCACTGTGCATTGTTGATCAAGTGTCTGGTCCTTGACCGACTACCAAAAAATTAGTCACGCCGGTAGGCAATTTTGTATCTTTGATACTCACATTAATCGGTGCAACAACATCGTTGCAAAAGTAGCACCCAAGTTCTGCTTGTTGATGCTCATCATTTTTCACACCGTGGCGCATGACCACGAAAGAGTCAAAGCCTAGCGCTGCATTCATAACGATTTTCCCAGCTGCTTTCCCCATAACGGTTGGTAGCCAGCGTGACTCTCTTGTGTCCATAAGTAGAAACACGACATCGTGGTCATCGATCAGCTTCCGAAGGGTTTCAAAATCTGCCCGGGTTTTCTGAGCGTCCAACACAGGGTGGCCAGCCATTGGGACCGAGAAATCATATCCGGTAGATTCAACGCCGGGGTATATCTCTTTCACGGCCTGGGATGCCCGGTGTGCCTTTTTGACCCCTCCTCCCAAGCAGTCTGTAAAATTAAACAATGGCTGCCTGACAGGGTTCGAAAATGACACAGATCCATTGTCCACGAATGTGATCTTAGTAACACCCCAACCCTAAATATTGCCATGTTACTTGTTTGCTTCTCGGAAGTAAAGAGTTTGGCGAACGTACCATCAAATTTCGGGCTACATAGCTTCCGAGGGTACCAGCTCCAAGTAAAAGACACCTAGTGTGTTTGATCGTATCTAGGTTCAGCTTGGGGCTTATTCTCCACTTCATAAGCTTAAGGTTGAGATCAACAGACTGATCTGCTAATCTGCCATCCAACGCAGAAGACAAAAAAAGTCAAGCGTCGTTAGTTGGCTGCTTATTTTGATTTCCGTTTTCGCGAATTGGGAGGCAGTTGCTCGTACCTTCTAGGATCCAAGTACTCGGTAAGATCAACCAGTCTTCCTGTTAACTTTCCTGTTGCGTTACGTTCCCACCCAGTTACTTTTGGCATAGGGTTGGTGTCTGTGTCCTGAGTGGTCTGAGTGGTCTGAGAACTCTGTGACGCCAACGTCATCAGTATACTGCGGCCCTGGTCACGCTTCGAACTCGGTTCACGATATCTCAGAATTTGGATTCTGTCAAGTCCCCAGCGTCGTTTCGCAAGCACCAGTAGGTTTCGGAGCATCCATCCGGGGGCATTTTCGTAATTCGAAGGATCCACGAAACAAACAAAACAATCCTCAAAGCGCGCTCCATCGAAGAAACCGTTCTCATAGGTCGCAATGGCATCGACTTGCCAGCAGCACGTCCTATTTTCCACTGCAGACTGCGCTTCGTTGTCAGATTTCGCCTTGCCGTCGCTGCCTCGCACCTTGCGAGCCAAGAAAAACCCGCGTTGATGAGCATCTACCCCAGAACTCCAAGCCTGCACCGCTTCTATCAGCGTCGAATTTTCAAGGTCTGACAAGACCTTGGCGTGCTTGGTACTTTCTTCGATCTGGTCTCGGCTAGTGATTTGTGTCGACGGATCCGTTGTGGTCCAAGATGGGTCTGAATGAAGTGCAGGAAAGGCAAACCAATAGTGAAACTTATATTTTTTGAGGTCTGCATATGAGAGGACGAGGAAGGATGAAAGCAAAGACGGGCACGAGTAGATAGAACCGTCAACTATAGCCTCCCATATCTAAGATCATAGAGAAGTATTATTATGGTTAGAGAGAAAGCTGGGGGGGGGCAGCAGCTGAACTCACCGTCCTGCCAGATTCCCGGAGAAGATAGGCTTTGTCCACATTTCGGTATTCTTCGATGGTGTTTACATTCTTCATCGTGCCTTCGGCTCGGTAGTAGCCGGTTGGCACCCTATTACGTGAAAGTGTTTGGTGAGCAAGGCACCATTCAACTGGGGCATAAGAGTATAGAGATTAGTTCCAAGGACTCACTCATCGCTGGTGAGAGCATTTCCGTGTACTTGCATCCGACACGATGTGTTGGGAGAATCCGCGGGGCGGATCTCATAAAGACCCAGCAGCCTTCTGGTGGAATCATCAAGTTTGTCATGGTTGATCTTCAAGGATGCCAAAGCAGTATAGAACGGCAGTTCTATGTCCGACGCGAATGGCGTATATTGCATGTTGCTTTCTGGAACAGTGGAACAGTCCACGATCGTTCGTTCTGTTTGGAAAGAAGTTTGGAGATATTATGCTAAGTACAGTATTCGAGGAGCTGGAAACTCGACATCACTTATTCCAGACCTTCAAGGGTGTAAACAAATGAATGACCTTGTCATCTGAGCACATCCACGAGGGGCGAGTAGATATGGGTGATAAAGCGCGCGGGGAAACCCGCCTGCCCTGAGGGACCGGACTAAGCGCTGTTTCATACCGCACACTCATGTAATACACCGTAATACTGAGGTACCGTACCTGCATTCCATAGGTAATGTAGGCATGTATGTACCTACTGTACTGTACTGTAAGAAGTAATACCGGAGATCTTGATACACAGTATTGTAAGATCAGGTGCCTACCTACCTACTCCGTACTGGGTCCTCTCAACCGCTTTCCAAATGGGGTTAGGTAGGCTGTCGAAGAAGAAATATCATATCCATTTATCTAACTATCCACTCTCATTGCATAGCGTGCGGGCAAGAATTTGCGAACATCGACTTAGTATTCCTCGCGCAGTATCAGCTGGTAAGGCCTTGGGCCTCCAATACGGAGTACCTTCTTGGCAGTTGCCATTTTGTGTATAGTAACCAGTCCCTTTTTAGTCTTTGGAAAAGAGAAGCAGCCGTTAGCTTGAAAATCTGTAAGCTACGATTCTCCTACCAGTCTCTCATTCTCTTGCTGATTAGTCCTCCTATATCGATTTGTGTATATGGTTGGATCCTAAAATCAATGTTGATTGGCTTGTGTGGAGGTTAGCAGCTTGCTGAACTGCTTTTACTACCGGATACCCCACTGCTAGGCATATACTAATTTGGTTATTCAAAGGCATCTGCTCTGGCAAACATGCCATCGCGGAATATCTCATCCAGAATCAAGGTTTCCAGCTACTTGAGTTCAAAAGTAGTACCGTCTCTCGAGAAACCGATGAGAATGGGGTTGATCTTCGGCTGCAAGTCCCCGGTACGAACGGGGGGCTACCTTCAACAGTCTTTGAATGTGTAGACTCGCTCCTTGAATTTGCAACCAAGAACTGGCAAGGGTTATGGGTTACAGCAGACATTTGGGAGGGTACCACTCTAGACCGCTTTCTCCAGCGCCCGTTTTTCCTTCTGGTGAGCGTTGATGCACCAGTCAGTCTTCGATGGAAACGATTAGTAGATAGGTCAGCAATCACCCGAGTTACCATGAACTCCCCGGCTATCCAACCAAAGTATTTCATCATGTTGACTCGGCTTGCTCTAGATGCCAAAGAAGACAAACTGAGCCTCCTTCACTTGAGAAGTTTATCTTTTGGAACGACCAACATCTATACGAGAAGAATGTTGGGCGTGCTTATTTGACAGATCGAGCCCAGGTTCGATTGTTCAATTCCTCTTATTCGCTCGAAGAACTCCATGCTGCTCTCGAAGCTCTGAATCTAGCAGATGATCAAAGACTACGGCCGAGTTGGGACCAATATTTCATGCAACTAGCAGCTCTTGCTGCGCAGCGGAGCAATTGTATGAAGAGAAGAGTAGGCTGTGTTCTTGTTCGTGACCACCGTGTCATAAGCACAGGGTACAATGGGACTCCGCGGCATATCAGAAACTGCAACGAAGGAGGATGTATGAAGTCTCCATATAGTCCTTTGGTCGAAGAGTCAAAGCTTACCCTTTGACTATATAGGTCCCAGATGTAACCGTGGCGAGGGTGGGGGTCTTGGTCTATCGACCTGCCTTTGTCTCCACGCAGAGGAAAATGCCCTCTTAGAGGCTGGGCGAGAGCGCATACGTGAGGGCGCGGTGCTCTATTGCGATACGTAAGTCATGATGGCAGTTGTTTGAAAACATTGGCAGTATACTGAAACAAGGATTATAAAAATCACAGTTGTCCCTGCTTGACGTGCACAGTCAAGATCACTCAAGTTGGAATCTCTGAGGTTGTCTACTCAAAAGGCTACAACATGGATCAAGATGTATGCTCGAGCTGTTTCTCTCGCTCTTGTGGTTCCTACTGACTCAATCTCTAGAGTGCTACAATTCTCAGAACCGCTGGAATTCGGCTTCGGCAATTCTCTCCTGTAAGCTATCCCTAATGCCTCCACGCAACACCGCTAAAACCATTTTAGCCTCAAAATGGACACATCTATTTGGGTTAGTTCACAAGGCGTGAGCTTATTCAAAGTGCAGCCCAGCATATCTCCCCAATAGGTTGTGCTCTAAACGCATCTAAATTAAATATGTTTGCCGCCCTTAGACCAGTCCCACCAAATATTACTTCCCAGCTAGGTACATACGGTAGAGCTGTATGTATTGTCACTCTGGACTACTCGTAATATCAACCTATGTACTGTACATAATAGTACCTATGATACGTATGTATGTACCACATACATACATACATTCCCTGGTAGGTGAGGGGAACAAAAAATTGCCCCGCTACATGACTCATCCGCGGCATGGTGGGCTTCCAGAGGTATCCTTCAAAATCAAGAGGAATTGAAATCGTCACGGCAGCCGGTGGATTGAGGGTTACTACAACCTCCAAAAGCCTACTGACGTGCTCAACACTTGAAAAAATAACACTGCTTGAAATCACTTCTCTTATTTTCTATTCCTTCTTTGGTTCTTTTCCATTCCAAGCAGGGCACTGCAACAGTCGCAATGCCAACCGTGTACCTGCTTGATTATGTTGCCGGGAATGTTCGCTCCTTGGTGAATGCAATCAATAAAGTTGGGTATGATGTGGAATGGATTAGATCTCCTGATGATTTAAAGAATGCGGATGTGAGAGTGCACACCTGGCGACAATGTCTTGACGTTGGCTAATCTATGCGCAATTGCAGAAACTTATCCTGCCGGGCGTCGGCCACTTTGGCCATTGTCTTTCTCAACTCTCAGAAGGAGGATACCTGGAACCCATCAAACAGCATATAGAAGCTGGCAAACCTTTCATGGGAATCTGTGTCGGCCTACAGGCCCTTTTCGAGGGCTCGGAGGAGGACTCCCAGGTTTCCGGACTGGGGCTAGTCCCAATGCGCATGCAAAAGTTCAATGCCGATACAAAGAGCGTGCCGCACATAGGTTGGAACTCCGCCATGAAGACCAATTGTCATTCCTCGAGCGATCAAACATTCTACGGTTTGAGCCCAAGCAGCAAGTATTATTATGTCCATTCATACGCAGCACTTTATAAACCCAATGTGCTGGAGGAACGTGGTTGGTCAGTTGCTACCGCAACATACGGCGAGGAAGAATTTATCGGCGCCATAGCCCGAGATAACATCTTCGCGACGCAATTCCACCCCGAGAAAAGTGGCCATGCCGGTCTGCGGACCATTCGCGCCTTTCTTAACGGTGACCGGTTTCAGTCACTCGCAAAAGACCTCCCGATCTTGCAGCGACACAATAACGGACTGACTCGCAGAATTATCGCCTGTCTAGATGTCCGTACAAATGATACTGGTGATCTAGTAGTCACTAAAGGTGACCAATACGATGTCCGCGAGAAGTCTGGTGTAGACGCCGGGGGACAAGTTAGGAACCTGGGAAAGCCAGTTGATATGGCCAAAAAGTATTATGAGCAAGGGGCGGATGAGGTGACTTTCCTCAACATAACGTCTTTCAGGAATTGCCCTTTGGCAGATACACCTATGCTGGAAATCTTGAGAAGAACATCGGAAACGGTTTTCGTTCCTCTTACAATAGGGGGCGGAATCAAGGAGGCTGTGGATACTGATGGCACTCATGTTTCAGCGCTTGATGTGGCAACCATGTATTTCAAATCTGGAGCTGACAAAGTTAGTATTGGGTCGGATGCTGTCATTGCAGCAGAAGAGTTCTATAAGGCGGGTGAAAAGCTGAGCGGGCAAACCGCCATAGAGACCATATCACAGGCTTATGGAAATCAAGCCGTGGTTGTGAGTGTCGATCCTAAACGTGTTTATGTTGATCGGCCTGAAGACACCGGACACCACACCATCAAGACAGCGCACACAAATGCAGCAGGACAAAGCTTTTGCTGGTACCAGTGTACCATCAAGGGGGGAAGGGAAACTCGAGATGTCGATGTTCGACAGTTGGCAATAGCCGTGGAGGCAATGGGAGCTGGTGAAATCCTCCTGAATTGCATTGATAAGGACGGGAGCAACAGCGGATTCGATCTAGAACTCATTAATGACGTCAAAGCTGCTGTTAAAATACCAGTTATTGCTTCAAGTGGGGCTGGTGTTCCTGAACATTTTGCTGAAGTCTTTGAGCACACAGCTACTGATGCAGCTCTGGGTGCTGGCATGGTAGGGATTCTCCCTTGTTTTCTGGTTCTCTTTATGCTAACGGAGTTCAAGTTTCACCGTGGCGAGTTTACGGTTGACGAAGTCAAAGGATATCTGAGTAGCAGAGGGTTCTTAGTTCGTTCTTTTGAAACTGAGATATAATATGCTATATTGGTTTCAGAGGAGGGAATAGAGCGTGGGAAGTGAGTTAAAAATAGAGCGCATTCCATGACTAGTTTTATATCTGAAATGTAAAGAATGAATGTTTCACCAATTGTGTACCCATTCTAAAAGAAAAGAAAGAATGACGAGTTTTGCGGGTAGCAGATTACTTGTCTTTCATATTATCAATAGTAATGGACTTCCAGCATGAATGGGCTACGAGCCGCGGGCTGAGTCCACGTGACTCTATCGGTCGCCACCATCCACAACTTTGCGATTTCATCCCGACATCCTCATGACCCATCACCAACCTCGTTCACCCACAACCCACATCATTTACATCATTGACACTGCCAATCAATATAAGGAACCCTCTACTCCCAACTCACATACTCTCGATCATACTTATAGTTCGAGACATCTCGGGCCTCAAACTTCCACCCAGGATAACATTCAAAGCTGATCACCTTTCGGTCATATTCTCCTAGCCTTCCCTGGATCACATTATCCCGATCCTTGTCGCGTATGGGTTTCTTCCGTCAGAGCGCACAGAGAACCGGTTCTTGTCAGCATATGTTATCAACGCAAGGATCAGGACCTCGATTCTACTTGGTGGACTGGCAAGACCTTTGAGACTTCCCTTTGACTTATCTATCGCGAAGCCACAAGTTTCCCCGTTTTTTCTTTTTTGTAATCATCAGACTTGACCTTGTTTGTATGCAGTGAAGGGTACACCTGCCATCCAGCAATCATCAAGAAGAGTCTTTTGAGTTCATGAGTTCGAGCAATATCGCCAATAGACATTGGGCTGTCGATCTTCAAGAATCTATAAAGGAAGGTTTCCGAGTCATTAAACTTGTCACCGGCGCTTTGCCAGCTTAAGTATCAATCATTATTTCCATTTCCTATATTGTCGCTTGTATCATTCTCCATTGTCAAAGCGGTGCCCCTTAAAAATCTTGATCTAATTACGTCCACAAACATTTTCGTTGGCCGTGCAATTGAATACAATGTCATCCTCTGTTCACTTCAAGTTCAAGTCTCAGAAAGAACCCTCCAGGGTAACCTTTGATGGCACCGGTATCTCTGTCTTTGAATTGAAACGCGAAATCATCAATCAGAGTAGGCTTGGTGATGGAACTGACTTCGAGTTATCGATCTATAACGAGGATACTGGGGAAGGTGAGTCCTGTGAATTGAGCGATTACCCAGCTTTTGTTTCGCCCTGTCTGCTCCTTACAAAAGAATTTATTCATATGGGTGGACTAGTAAACTAGAGCCATCACAAAGAGTAGGGGAAGGAAACAAACTGAATGAAACATGCAAAGCTAACCCAATTTCACAATCTTAGAGTACGATGATGATACCACCATCATACCCCGTTCCACTGCTGTCATCGCCCGAAGACTACCTGCCTCCCGGCCTGGGAAAGGCGGTGCTGCCCGTTATGTATCCGGGAAAATGCCCGTGAATGCGCGCAACGCCCCTCGTCATGATCAGACTTCGTCGACCCGGACAGCTCTAGGTTCTAGTAATACAGTTAGCAACGGTGTTCAGGAACTTAATAACGCTCAGACCGAAGAGGAGAAAATCAATGCGCTATTCAATCTGCAAGCTAATCAATGGAGGGAACAACAACAGGAGATGGCGAAGTAAGTGTATTCTGCCGGCGCCAGGGCATCGGAAGCTTACATTCATCTTTAGTGTCACGCCTGTTCCCTTTGGCCGAGGTCGAGGTAAACCAGTCAATATTCCCGATCATCCACCGCCACCCGGTTATCTTTGCTACCGATGTCGTGAAAAAGGTGTGGTTGCTTTCAGGAATTCTTGCCCCTGTGCCGCAGACTAACTCGTTCCATAGGACATTGGATCCAAGCGTGTCCAACAAATAATGACCCTAAGTTTGATGGGAAGTACAGAGTCAAGAGATCAACTGGTATCCCTCGCTCTCTTCAAACCAAGGTCGAGAAGCCGGAATCAATCACACAGGATGGGTCTAGTGAAGACTTAAGAAATACTGGCGTGATGGTCAATGCTGATGGAGATTTCGTTATTGCGAAGCCAGACAAGGCAGCGTGGGAACTGTACCAAGAGAAAGCCAAAGCATCCGCCGCAGCCGCCGCAGAGGCAGCAGCGGCAGAATACAGCAAAGAGCTGCAAACTCGAGGGTTGGAATGTCCAATTGACAAACGCATGCTCCTAGAGCCCACAAAAACGCCGTGCTGCCAAAGAACTTACTGCAACGATTGCATTACGAATGCCTTAATAGAGAGCGATTTCGTCTGTCCTGGATGTGCAACGGAGGGAGTCTTACTTGATAATCTCTTCGTCGACGAGGAGGCCGTCGATAAAATAAAGGTGTATGAGACCGAAAAGGCAGAGTCCAAAAAGGAGAAGGAAAAGCAACAGACTTCTCACGAGGACCAGTCGGCTGCTGCAAGTGATGCCGCAGTTACGATATCTGAAACGACTTTACCCAGCCAAGGTGTAAGTGCAGAATCGAAAAAAAGACCAGCCGAGTTTGAGCGTCCCAGCACGGCTACCGAAGAGCCCATTGCCAACACCTCGTCAAAGAAACACAAAACCGACAACATTCAAGCGACAAGCGACAAGCCCACTTCACAAACTCAAAATCATGCTGGATCTACTACGACTCCTCCCTTCAGCCAGCAGATGTTTCCCGGCCTCGGTTTCATGCAGGCTTCCGGTATTCCTGCAATGCCGTTTCCTGACCCTGGATTTGAGCCCGTTGGATTTATGAACAACGCAATGGGTTTGAATCCGACCGGCAATTTTCCGACCCCTATGGACCAAGCATGGAACACTATGAACCCACTAAACTTCAACTCACTTCCAGGTGGGCCTTACGGTGACCATGTCAGTGGTGCAATGCACGGCGGATATGGCCCAAATGGTATGTATAATGGCGTTGGAGATACGCCCAGTAACATGTTTCCCATGTCTACAATGGTGGGACCCAACCCAGGGTTCCCGCAGGGACCGGGAATGAGTCATTTCTCGAATCAGCAACGAACCACATTCAGCACCCCGTATGCGAGAGAAGAGGATACGGCTTATTTCCGCCAACCTGTTAACCCGCAAAGACACCAGGCAAGACACCGGAGGATAAGACCTAGTGATTACCGTGAGCTGTAAGACCGACAGAATACTGTCGTAGTCTTCACAAATGGGCTGTGCCGTGCGGGTGGTGGTGTATTTCTTATTTCCTGTACAACTTATCTTCCTGTAACATTTCGACTCTTTGCACATGTCCTAACAGGAATACCTAACCGGCCTGGTCACAACACGATAGGAAAGCATTCGCATTGGGACTTAATTTGATTATTACGGTTGCTGCTGCTGTTGCTGTAGTTAATTGAGAAACTTAAGAAGAAAAAAATAGAGATCGAACTATTTAGTTATTGATGGCCGTGCTTACAAGCTGCAGTCATTATGTAGATGTCATGCCTGAGGCACCTGGTAAAGTCATGTGATTAATTATGTTATGACGAACTGGTGACGGGGAGGCTTGACCCCCTATCCTACAATCACTACCTAGTGACTCCTACTATCATAACACTCGAACAGTAACCACTCGCCTTTCCCTCGAACCTGGCAGAATATCTAATTTTACTATATTTTGACTGGTTGGAATATCTGCTGACCGATTCTTCTAACTCCTGTTCGACCGTCAAACTTATTTCACATCAATCATTAGCCCAAGGCAGCTCTCATCATGGCTAAGCTTCTGAATAACAACAGTAGTATCTCCAATCAGTTACAAAGACATGCTGATAGGAATACTCAATCCACTATACTCGCAAGTTGCTACAGTGTCAACTCGTCGACTCCGGCCGTTAAGGGATTCCACTACTGCACTACGCTGGGGGCCGGTAAGTAGGACTTCTCTTTACCTCTGAGCCAGCGTACTGATGTAGCATTTCTCCCTGCCAAATAGGAGCCCAGTGGTATCCCTGAGGTTCCCTCAGGGTCGAAAACTCCTTCTCAAAGTCCTCCCCTAGAGCTCTGTGCCAGTCCCGAGACTGAGCATGGTTCTCCGGTTAACAATTCACTGGAGCACAGGGGGGAGGCCGCGCAAACCATCCCGGAAGAGTGTGAGAGGCTCTTCTGCGACAAACTGTCCGCTATTTTCCTTGGTGAGGGGAGAATTTCGAGGCAGGAGTCGCTGGGGATGGGTGCGTACCCAACCGTACCCAACCAATTAGGGTGCAGACAGATTCACAGGTGGTTCGAAGTCCTGGATTACACAAGTGATTGTGTATACAGAGGGTTCGTCACCGGCATGAATGACGACAGAACACTCTTCGTATTCTTCGGAGACAGTGAACTAGGACAAGGTCTCAAAACGGGGTACGTGGATGAACGGATTGTCTTGCGTTCCTGACAGCCTATGTGGTTGACGAAGATGCTCACAGCCAACAGTCTAATCGCTCTTTTCGAGCTGGCCAGCACTCCTAGCTTTGCGTGTTCACAAATTGTGGCATGCGTCCCTCGCTCCCAAGTTGCAACCGAGCTCGCCGTAATTAGGAATCTAGGATGGTGCGGGTTTGCCTTGTCGACATTGCAACCCTGGAGTCTGGAACATATACCCGAGCCTTCGCTGAGTACCAGATGGCTGTTTATGAGCGCTGAAGTTTGATTATTTTAAATCTATTTATCCCGTTGACAATCGCGGGGGAGTTATTACGTTACTTTAGGAGTCTCGTTGATTCTGATAAGGTTAGGCGCAAATAATGAGATCGATTTACCCCGTAGTTCCGGTGCCAAGACCCAACGCACACATGACCTCAGCGTGACAACACTCCTCGGACTGCACGCACTATCTGTTCAAACCCTGCCGAGTTCTACTTGATACCTACAACCCGAGTGTACATCTTCAATATCAGACTGTTCATATGTTCCCCAAGTTTTTGCTCCCACCTTTCCGCCGCAGGGAGCATGGCGTGGGCAGGCCATCCGTGACGATAGACCCCAGATCCTCGAAGGATTACAGCGGAGACGACGCCAAGTATTTGAAAGGCCATGTTTCTTATATCCGCTGCTCCCGCTGCGCAACAGACCTCTGCCTGACCTCCCAGATCATCAGTAAGGGTTTCACTGGCCGTCATGGGCGCGCATATCTTGTGTCTGCCGAGCCAGAGGCCTGCGCCGTTTCGGTGAACGCAACGTCATCACCGACAGTCTCGCTTCCGAATACCATCATCCAAAAGCCCGTTCCGCGCCAGCTAGTCACCGGATCCCACACAGTTAGCGATATTAGTTGTGCCTTCTGCGGAAGCGTACTTGGCTGGAAATATGTTGCGGCAGAGGAGGAATCGCAACGTTACAAGGTCGGCAAGTTCATCCTGGAAACCAGGAGAACCATGACTGCTTCATCTTGGGAGTCTGCTACTTATGTTGGCTTGCCTGCACGACCCGAGTCACTGGGAGCCGCGGATATACAACCAGAAGCTTCGGGAATTCCGGTGGAATTCGACAGCCAAGACGAAGACGAATGCGAGGATTTGTTTGCGGGGATATGGAGTCCCGGTTTGGCAGCATGTCGGAGAAGCCGGAAACTTGATCGTCCGTCAGTTTTTGGTCTTACTTAGAACCTTATATGGCCACTACACCTCATGATCTACCTGTCCACGCCGAGGAATCTTTCTTTTTAGCGGTCTCTGTACTAATCTGCTAATTGTCCCAATTCCAGGGGGCCTTAATTAATCTTAATGGTAGTGTTAATGATTAGGATGAATGCCAAGGAATCAAGTCTTTAAGCGTACAAGAATGGGGTATCGTTATTGGTCTTATCCATCCTGCCATGACAATGCAAACTAAAACCATGTACTTTGCGCGTGCTCAGCAGTCTTTGCAGGTGAACCAAAGGCAGGATCAAGAGGATTAAATCTGTAGACCCATGAAGTATGAATGATTGAAGAGCAAGGCATGATCAAAGGCCGGATCAATCAGACGTGCTGTTGTCTTTCCTCGCTCTTTTCGCATTGCTTTCGGGTGTGTCTTCATGAGATGGACGCTTATGACCTTCGTTTGGCTTCCGCTTGACAAGTGAAGAGAGGTCATTGGCATTTTTCGTAACTGCGTCTAGTTTTGCCTTTTGCTCGGAAGCAGATTGTCCCATGATTTGGCCTAGAAGACCCTGCAGGACAGCTTCACCTTGCTCGTCGTCTTCTAATGAGATCGGTCCGCGACGAAGATCGACAAGCTACAAGCCAGTAAGATGTTTATCCACGATAAGGAGAGGGCTCGACTTACTCTTTGCTCCATATCACCGATGATCTCTTTCACATTGGCTATTTTTCTTTTCATAGCCGTTGTTTTATCCTCATCTCCAGAGCCTTCGCGCTCAAGTTTGGTTTGCTCTAGAGTCATTCTGACACGACAGCTTTCAATAGCCTTTTCCATGTGGAATACTGCATCCTTTCTCATTTCCTCATCAACTTTGCCCCGCTGATCATTACTATCGCCTTCGGGGTCAGTGTCTGCTTTTTGAACTGACCCAAACTCCAAGGCAAGTGAAAGTTTGTAATGGCATTCAGCAATAGATGGATCTTCCATTGCGAACAACGCCTTTCGCAAATCAAGGGCAGTTTTTAGGTCGGCAACTGCATCCATAAATCGTTCGGCCTCCAAGGAAATTTCCGCTTGTAAATCATACGTGTCCGCGAGCCTCTCCTTGAGATGTCGGATGTTGGGTGATAAGTCGGCCGACTTTCCTTTCCCACTTTCGTCGTCAATTGTTAACTTCTTGTGGTAAAGTATGCGGGCCAGATCAAGAACTTCGAAGGCATTGGCAAAATCATCATCTTCGCCATCATCGGCGCCATCTTCTTCCTTGTTGTCTTCCTCCTCGGAATCCGAGTCGTCGAAGTTTTCGTCACCGGTGAACTGGAAAAGCGACTTGCTCCCAATTGACGCAGATTGCGCATTTTCTCCGGCCGCTCCCGTCGGAGTCAACCCACTAGCAATCGCTTTTTGGATGGGGTTGTCATCGCCAGTCGTCGACTTCGATGATGAGGTATTTTGAGCCGGTGCGTTGCTTGGCTGGGGCTGCGCGTCGCCTGCCACCTTCGAGCCAAGGACGTCACTTTTGCTCACGGCAACATTGTATAGAGCTTTCCCGTAGGCATATAGTAGATCGGCGTTGTCAAGCGACAATTCTCCATTCAATCTGGCTTGAAGTTCTGTGGCCTCGGAATAAATTTCGGCGGCCGAATCGAAATCCTTAAGAGCATCTTTGGCGGCGGCTCGCTCAATGAGGCTCTCTAGCTGTGCTCGAGGGTTTTCGGCCGTAGCTCCGGTGGGACTCGGGCTGGTCTTATGTTGGACGTCCTCGGTCATGGCCACGTGACGAAATGATTTGAAGGAGGAGAACTTGACTGGAGAAGCTATAGAAGAGGATGTCGTGGCGAGTAAGGCAGGGCGTTGGTGGTGGTAGAAGGTGGAGGGTGGAAAGGACGGCGGATATGAAATTAGTCTGGAACCATCGCGGATCGCGTCGCGTGGACTCCGCGTTTCTTTGCTCCGTACGGCTTCCAGACACCCGGCCCTAGAAACCATCGTGTACCTACCCCCAAAGGACCAGACCATGATTTAATGCCGTGACAATGGATTCGGATCCAGTACCTTCGTCGTCGCCGGCGTTTGGAACGCCGGTGCATCCTTTTCGAAAGAACAAGCCCAATCCGCTATCTACTAGGACTTCTATCCTTCCTATACTACTCCCGCCCTCGACGCTTCGACCTGTCGCTTTCCGTACTTTCACCCGGAAGCACAACCTGACAATATCATCCACTGCACTCCAAACTCTAGCCACTTTCGTGGGGAAGAACTGTGGTTCGGGATGGCGCGAAGAGGGGCTCGCCGAGCGAGTTCTCGATGAGGTTGCGAAAAGCTGGAAAAAGGCCGGAGGCGGGGTCATCGTTGAAGAAGGGAAAGGGGCGTCTTTGAAAGCTATTTTGCAGGCCCTGGAGGGAAACATGAGTGGTGGCAGGGTCGTTTTGGGGCGGGTCACTACTGCGGACAAGGGCCTCACGGGAATAGCGGGCCAGAATAGACCGGAGGGCAAGGCACTGCAAGATGACAAGGAGGATGAAGACTTGGAGCTATTGCTGCATCCTCGACATTGGACCAATGTTGTCGACGCATTCGATATTCCACGCCTGACTTACAACGCCGACAAAAAATATTTCGAAATTGTCCAGTCGGAACCGAGCCTCTTTCCATCACCTTCAAGAAACATTGCTTTGCTTCGGGATCGTTACAACATTATATACCAGCGTTTGCTCCGGAATGAATCATTTCAAACACCTCTCGGTTTGTCACGCTCCGGGGGCGGGCTATCTAACCCCCAGCATGGCTACAGGCTCACACCTATTGCGAACTTGCTTGGCAGAAGTGGCACCTCGCATTTGCTGCTGGGATTACTTTCTGTGTCGCCTACGGGAGAACTCACCCTCAGCGACCTCACAGGTAGCATTGTCGTGGAGTTGAGCCATGCACAGCTAATACCTAAGGATGGGGCTTGGTTTACTCCGGGTATGATTGTACTCGTAGATGGGATCTACGAGGAGGAAGAGAACGTCAAAGGATCAACACTCGGTGGTAACAGCGGAATCGGAGGCACTATTGGGGGCAGATTCGTTGGTGTTTCTATCTGCGGTCCGCCTTGCGAGCGGCGAGATACGTCCTTTGGGTCCAGCATTCGGGATGGAGGCGGAGAGGTCAGCTCCAGTGGAGGACTTGGGTGGGTGGACTTCCTAGGCCTAGGGAGTGAGCGTGCACGAGGTCCACGCATGAGACAGGTCCAGGCTAGATGCCTCGACCATGCGCGCGATGGCTCCGAAACTCCGAATCGATTCAAGGTAGCCGTCATGTCCGAGGTGAACCTGGACAATATGAAGGTTGCGGATGCGCTACGAAGGCTTTTTGGTATCTACAGCGATCTTCCCCCTGGGGAGCGCCCGATGGTTTACGTCCTCATCGGAAACTTCGTCCGGCAGGCCACGGTCAGCGGCGGCGGCCAGGCGGGGAGCATTGAGTATAAGGAGTATTTCGATTCGCTCGCGGGAATTCTGTCTGATTTCCCTTCAATATTGCAGCGCTCCACGTTTGTTTTTGTACCGGGCGACAATGACCCTTGGTCTTCTGCTTTCTCGGCTGGTGCTGCTTCTCCAGTCCCCCGGCAAGCGATTCCTGAGCTTTTCACCTCGAGGATAAAACGTGCATTTTCCATGGCCAATGCCGAGTTGGATCATTCCCAGGGCGCCGAGCCCGCCGGCGAAGCTATTTGGACCTCAAACCCATCTCGCCTCACTCTTTTCGGGCCAGTTCATGAAATTGCTATATTCCGCGATGACATTTCCGGCAGGCTTAGACGCTGCTCGTTGGACATGACACAAAACCTAGATTCTTCTGGTACGGCAATGGACGGGGACATGGAGACTGATTGCAGATTACACCCCGCGCCTGAAAGCCATGGGGAAATTAGACCGACAGACGCCAAATCCTCTCCGGCTTCGGCGGTTCGAATGGCTCGCAAGCTCGTCAAGACAGTACTAGATCAAGGCAGTCTGTCACCTTTCCCTCTCTCGCTGCGGCCCGTACTTTGGGATTATGCATCGTCGTTGCAGCTGTATCCACTACCAACCGGGTTTATCCTAGCGGACGCAGAGGCAGCACCTTTTTGTATGACATATGAAGGGTGCCATGTGATGAATCCCGGGAGGTTAATTCCTGAGATCAATATGTCTTGCATGCAGTGGATCGAGTACGATGTTCTGAAGAATCGAGGGAGAGTGAGAGAGGAACGCTACTAGATCGTCTGCCCCCGAAACTAGTGAAAACACAGATTACGTATCTAATGAATGACTGACTGTATCGTTATCTATGACCTTGAGAGGCAACCTTGGTGTTCACTGGGAAACTTGGGCAGGTCAAATTGGAGAGATCTAGTATATTTGAATCAATTCTAGGGGTTCTGAATTAAGCTGTCAAACATCCTAGAATCTCATATCATCACCTTCACAGAGCCTTTCTCCCTTCTTTTATATATATACCTATGTACTGTATACAGAGATCCAACTATACACATCGTTGAGGTGGAACGGGGAGCAATTCATTCAAAAGGTGCAACATGTAACATGGAGCAAGCCCACCATGTGCGTGACATTAGAAGAGATACTATTTAACAATCACTAAAAAGATACATGTGTCCACCCAACCGGAGGACAACTCGTGCCTGAGGCACAACAAAAATCGCTTGAACCAAAAAAGCCACGCCTTAATCAATCATGATAACATCCTCTTTAAGTGACCTAGGGGCAGAGTCGGTATCTGGTGATCCGTTCTTGTTGCTCATCCTGGCCGAAGGTCCCTTTCCTGTCAGACGGGGATCTGCCTGAGTATGCATCGAATCGCTACCAGAATGAGTAACAAGATGAGATGCCACATCCTTCTGACCGCTAGTAATACACTTGTCAAGCTCCAAGATGAGATTTCCGACCTTGTCAACATCGGCAACAACCCCGCTACCGAGCCCTTTCCAACCGTCTCCCTTGGAATTGAATAGTCTACTTTTGAAATCCGGGTCAGGTAGATTTTTGGGCAAGGGATCCTGCGGGCCGCCCGTGTAGTGAAGAATCCAGATCAGTTGCTCTTTGATTTGGCCAGCTCTTAAGCTGAAGCGGAGGTTTTGGTTCGGATAGTGGATAATGAAGGTTTTTGCATTGCGGACAATCACCTGCATTTTCAGGTGCCCTCTGTAAGATTGATTGAGCATGATTTGATCGAATGCTTGCATCAGAGGAAGCGTGAGTGAGAGAAGTTCGGTGACAGCATCGAGGCTGGTGTCGGCAGAAGAATGATTCAAAATAGATGTCAGGGGCCCTTGAATACGGCGATGGGGATTCGAGCAGGCAAAGGTTATGCTCAGGCGCAAATGAAACATGGGATGCGGTTGAGATGAATCCAGTCCCTTGCGAGGTAGAGTTTCAATATCAAGGTGGGAAGATAGACTCCCTTCTGGACCATATGCGAAAGCAACTCGCGATAATGACAAGGATCGTGGTTCCATTTTCTTGCATTGAAGAGTCTCAAGGACTGATAGAACACATTCTAGCCGCTGCAGATTTTCCATCAGACTATTTGTCACAGGACGACCAGGCGGAGCAAGAAGACGAATAGCAAAGCCACGGTCTCGCCTCGAAAAGGCGAGCGAGCGATCCCACTTCGCGCTCAGTAAACTGAAAGCCTTTGCAGGGATAAGTAGATTGCCGTAGGCCACCATTATGGCGACTTTGCTACGGGGCTCGACCCCACGGAACGCAAGGCGGATTGTGTTTTTAATCAGGCCCTTTGTTTTTGACCCGCCAGGTAACGTTAGTTGAGAAGTTATTGGGAGGTTCGCCGGGTTGTACCGAATGAAAAGGTCTGGAACTCGAAGATCTGGCCCTAACACCAATTTGTGCAAAGGTGGATGAAAAGGGGAAGACAGCAAATCAGCCATATGGCGCGCATTGGCATATATAGCCAGAATACCAGAAAGAGAATGCCCTATATCAGCGAATGACGTATCGCTGATGTGCTCCTGCAAAGGTAAAAGTGCACTGCCAATAATCTGGCCAGTGGCGTGTATTGAATGCCCGTCTGCCAACGTCGGTGTCGGAAGCTGAATTACCCACCAGTTGTCGCCATCCATGCTACTTGTGGCCGCCACAATCCAGTTACGCTCCCAGTATGGGTGCGAGAAGAACGAAAACCGCATGACGTTGACCGGGAACACCCTTCGGACGTCAATTTTTAACCCCCTCGGGTTGACGGACTCGAAACCAAGCATTTTGACATGCGCTTCGATCTCTTCTATAGCCGCAATGCAACGTAGTCGAGACACACGGGAAACGATATCATCGGCCGAGGACGTTTCGGTGCCTCTTTCGCCTTCTGGTCGTTCGAGAGCACTAGGGCGAGCCGATAAAATTACTGCCCCTGACATGGGCTCGATTGAGACCCGGAGATGCCTTGAGGGAGTGAGCTGAACATCGAGTTGACAATCCCCAGGCTCAATTCCAGTCAGCTGAGTTTGCAAACTGAGTATCCCAGCTGCAAACAAAAAACTTTGGCTCAGTATGTTATGCGCGGCAAATAAGATATGGGACGTGTGCAACGCAATGACGCTTCGGAGGACGCTTTCCAGAGAGAGGTTCACGGTGTCGAAACCAACACCAGCACTATCAATCTCCTGTCCATCCCGTAACCAGCGCAGTCCCAAATATGGAACACCATGGCTATGGCCTCGACCGCGCTTAATCCCCAATTCAAGCCAGCTTTTAGTTCCTGGCTTGAGAGCCCAATAATGCACAACAAGCGTTCTGTGCAACAATTCAATGCGCAAAACATTTGACCAGAGACCTCTTGCTAATTCAACAGCTTGTTTGAACAGGATGTTGATCTTGTTAGTCAGGACCAGACTGTGCAGCAGATCAAAGCAACCAGTCAAACCACCATGCTTAAGCGTGTCGTTGATTTTGACTTCGAGGTCGTTGAACATTCGACCCTGTGGAACGGAAGCCGACGGGTGGAACAGAAAGCGAATGTCAACAAAGTAGAATTGAGACGACTCGTTTGCCTCCCCTATCGAAAGGTCGAGCTCGAACTCGCCGGATACAATGAATGTGACACGGCCATCATGAACATGATAAGTTTGAAAGGAGCGGGGGATTATTTCACGTAATGCCAGTCGGGCGCTAAGGATTCTGTCGATTTTCCTTAATTTTTTAAGCGTGCTCTTAGCGGTCAAAGACCTTGGGGGCTTGTAGCCAAACTATATGACGACGAATTAGAATATACTTTCGATATCAGGGATGGGGATGAAACACACATCTGGCATTGACGTGATTTTGGCTTTGGACAAGACTTCCAATGCCGTTTTCAAATCCGGATTTGCCACTTGGGCTTGAACGAGGTTCCGTTTCAAGTCTCCGATCCATTGCAAGGCAGATACGTAGGATTGGTGACGATTGCGAATGAAATTTTGTAGGTCGATTAGCTTACTGACATCGGCCGCTTGTCGGCTCCATTGAGAGAGAACGAGGAGCTTAATAAATTCAGCTCGTTTCGCGTGAGCGAAGTTTAGAACGCGGAGTTTCTTCTGTATATTTTCAGAAGACTGGTTGCCCGATGATTTTCCATTGGCTGACTGGAACGAAACATAGTTAGACGGGATCTGGTTATCCGCCAAATCTGTAATTAAGTCAGATAGATCGTTCCAGCACTGCTGCACAGATCTATTGACCAAAGTTGAGAATGGGAAAAAGCCTTGAGTTATGTGTGGCAACTCTGGGACCCTGTCATTCATCCTCAAAGCAAGTTTGGTTGACGCTGGCCTGTGTTCCTGGTTTCCATAGTCTACTTTCTGAGACACTCCGTTCGTATAAACAGGACTCTTATTTGTACCGCCTTGGTTGCTGTCACCAGGAGAGGTGGACATGCCATTCATAGCGTCTGTGCCCTGCTCAGATCTAACGATACTGGCATTGTCCATGATGACACCCGGCATGTCTAGGCTCGCGCTCGCGGCTACCTAAGAATTCTCTTCCTTCTTCCACACCCTGCACGGGTTTTGAGATCAACCCCCCGAATCCGGCACTGGGGCAAGGAAGACAGCCGATGGCACACGCTTGGCTCTGAGAGGTTCAGTGTGGTGCCATAAGTCTGTCAGTGGGCGCGAACGATCGGCTCCGTTGGAATGAAGGATTTGTTTGCAGTATCGTTTGAGGTATCGTTCGAAGGCAGTACAATGTTGAATGCGTTGTACCCTCGTGGAAAGGTATGTAGATGCGTTGTCGCAGATACGAAGTACACTGAATTGGAAGGCGAAAAAAAATCTCTTCGGAGAGATGATATTAGCACTGGTGATGAGGTGAGACCGAGCTGAAGGTCCAAGTAGGTGAAGCAGTTTTTTTCTTCTTGCCTTGATCCCAAACCAGAAAGTGGAATGTAGACAAAGCTTCGCACCTTCAAGATCTCCGGAGGTATGGAAGGGGATTACTAGGGAACAAAGGCGGGGGGAAGCTTGAATGATATCAAGATGATTGTTGCAATAGAACAAAACATGAATGGAATTCAATTCCCTGTCTGTAAAGTATTAGGGAGAATTCATTCATAGGGAGCGTCTGTGTTGTCAGAAGAAACCTTGTTGGACAATGAAATCCGTAGGTAATGATGAATGAATACCGCGGATGGATGCGACGCAAATGCACGAGCCTCGGGGTATCAGCCTCAGTGGCTGGTTGTGCATGCCTTGATGCCTGCTTACAACTAAGACGTTGGGTATGGTAAGTGAGTACATACCTAGGTAGGTATATAATACTGTACCGTAGATACCGAGATATATAATTACTGTAATATTTCATGCAGGCCCCATGATCGGTTACCACTAGAGCGTAGATCATACCAGGTACTAGTCATGCTTTCCAATGTCACAGGTCACAAGGCCGGCCCAAAGCTAGCTCCGTGCTACCTGCATCCTCTTAAGTTACAGGATCACCATCTTTAGCTATCTAGTATTTATCTTGCTCATCGCCCCTTTCCTTCTCATAGTGGCCGACCGACCACCTAATTGACTCGCCACTGCTCCACAACGTTTACGCGGACGACCCAGGCGGACATTTCGTCCTCTCGACCCACGAGCTAACTTAGAATCCCGGCCCTTTGATATGAAAGCAAGGTTTTATTAAAGAGACTCAATATGTGGGAAGATGAAAGCGCCGAAATAACCTCGCGCTCTCGATATCCTGGTGATGACACACGACCTACGAGCAATAGAGAGCTTGCTGGATGGCTCAGTTATAGTTGGGCAGCTGAAGTCTTTGCGGTGTGCGCAATGGGTATACCCTCCCAAGTTTAAGGTGGGCTGATGCAGGTCGAGGCTAATCACAACGTAGGGTCGTTCCTCCCCATTACGCTGGAGCAAATGGCTCGTGACCGTGGTGTCCTTCTATCAGATAAGGTGACGCCGTGTGTGGATTGGCAAACCCCGAGGCAACCATCTTTACTTGACTCGTGGAGTTATAATGTCACTACTGATGCGAGCGAGAGCTATGGAACACTAGCCACTGGCCAATGCATTGTACTGATTCTCGGTGTCGAAATTAACACGGCAAGCTTTGCTATGTACACATTTTCCTTGAGTGTCTTTGTGCAGGCTATGTTGATCATATCTATGTCTGGTGCTGCAGACCATGGGAGCTACCGCAAAACTCTCTTGGTTACCTTTGCTTTTATTGGCTCCTTGACGATGATGCTGTTTCTTGGAGTTGTGCCAGGGCTTTACATTGTCGGTGGTCTGTTCGGAATAGTGGCAAACACCTGTTTTGGGGCATCATTTGTTCTTTTGAATTCCTTTTTGCCCCTGCTAGTCCGCCAGCATTCTTCTGTGCTTCGAACAGTCAGTGCAGATGCTTCTTACGCCCCAACGAGAGAGGACTGCTCTGTTCAAAACAGCGATGGCCAAGATGATATCGACGTGATCACACCGCTTCTCCAACGCAGACAACACAGCCTAGATCCTCCCGGGGACACCTCGCAGGCACTAGAGCTCTCGACTAAGATATCCTCTTATGGAATAGGGATCGGATATATTGGCTCTGTGATATTACAATTGATTTGCATCCTGGCTGTCGTTGCTACTAAACAAACCACCTTTTCTCTGCGGCTTGTCCTCTTTCTCATCGGACTCTGGTGGTTTATCTTCACCATTCCCGCCGCACTTTGGCTTCGTCCACGACCAGGACCTCCTCTTCCGCACGATGAAGGGAAGCAAGATCGCTCTTGGATTGGCTACGTGGGTTTTGCTTGGAAGTCCCTTGGTCGCACTGCTATGCGAACTCGACACCTGAAAGACATATTACTGTTCTTAGCAGCGTGGTTTCTACTGAGCGACGGAATTGCCACTGTCAGTGGCACTGCTGTTCTATTTGCCAAAACCCAATTGGACATGCAGCCTGCAGCATTGGGCATGATAAATGTCGTGACAATGGCTGCCGGGGTATTCGGGGCATTCTCCTGGCGCTATGTGTCAAGCATATTCAACCTGCGTGCTTCACACACAATAATTGCATGTATTATCTTGTTTGAGATCGTGCCCCTCTATGGTCTCCTGGGATTTATCCCGGCAATCAAGAATTTGGGGTACCTTGGACTCCAGCAACCCTGGGAGATGTTTCCCTTGGGTATTGTTTATGGCCTTGTTATGGGAGGCTTGTCGTCATATTGTCGAAGTTTTTTTGGAGAGCTCATCCCGCCCGGCTACGAAACGGCCTTCTTTGCTCTTTATGCCATCACCGACAAGGGGTCGAGTGTTTTCGGGCCCGCTATCGTGGGAATAATCACGGACCGTTATGGTGAGATCCGGCCAGCATTCGCCTTTCTTGCCGTCTTGATACTGCTTCCACTGCCGCTAATGCTTCTCGTTGACGTCAATCGAGGTAAACGGGATGCCTACGCGCTTTCGGTAGAACTGGCGGGCCACTCCACACGGGACACACCTTGCTACGGTGCAACTCCACAAGATCAACCAGAAAATGAAGAGGCCGTGGCCCACACCGAGCATTGATTGACAATGAGGAGGGGAAAATCAGAAAAGACCGATCCGCATGTTTCATATTCCGTAATTCATCCATTGTCCACCCCAGTCTGTTTGGGTACGAACCGCTGGTAGACCATCTCCGTAGTAACTAGCTATCAGACGGTGCCAGCTGTCCGGGCTCTGGAATAATAAACAAGCATGCTGGATCCAGGGGACCCGGTCCCTTACGTTACTAGGTACCGAAGTAGGTATGTTACCAAAGATACCTAGGTATCGGGTACCAAGGTACATACCAACCGCCCTTACCATATCGGTAGCTGGTTACCATGAAGAGACTAGTGTAGGCACATACAGTACATACATAGTACATACGTAGGTGACTAGGTGTATATGTATGTACCTGAAGGATACTAAGGGACTACTACGGAGTTTAAGCAGGCAGACTCTTCAGAAAGGTTCCTACTACTTTCAGGGTTCAAGTACTAGATAGGAGGATTTAGGGAGTAGCCAGCCAGGTACTAGACTCCTCCCGGTAGGTATTGCCTAAGTACCCAGGGAGTCTCCCTTGCTGTACCTGACTGACTACCGGGCGCCGCCCCTCTCAAGCATGAACCAGTCAGATTAGCTAAACAGCAGAAAGAACAAACTGTCCTCAACTCCCCCAGCCCATACAATACTTAACGGGCCTTCTCACCTTTGCGTCCGCCACCTTTCTCTTACCACCTCTTCTCCTTCCTCCACCCAGCTTCTACAGCTTCATCAATCACCTTATTGTGCTTCCTTTGCCAACGAAAAGCTGTTTGGAAAGGATAGGGCACCTGTCGGTTCTAGTTTTTGTTTTGCTCAGACCAAATTCGATTCTGCTTTTCGTGACATCCACACAACAAGATGCGATCTTTTGCGCCTTGGGCCTTGAGCCTCTTGGGCGCTTCGGCGGTGGTGTCTGCCAGCGATGCCCAGGCTGATGTCCCCTCTGACGTGAAATCACTGACCCAGGACACGTTCAACGATTTCGTCAATGAGCATGATCTAGTACTGGCGGAGTTCTATGCACCTTGGTGTGGGCACTGCAAGGCTCTGGCGCCCAAGTATGAGGAGGCTGCCACTCAGCTGAAGGAGAAGGATATCCCCTTGGTCAAGGTTGATTGCACTGCAGAGGAAGACCTTTGTCGGGACCAGGGAGTAGAGGGTTATCCCACCCTGAAGATCTTCCGCGGCGTTGATTCCAGCAAGCCTTACCAGGGAGCTCGTCAGACTGAGGCGTGAGTTTTATCTTCTCTTTTTGTACCTGACAGGATGCTGACCTACCAGTCTCGTGTCATACATGATCAAGCAGTCCCTTCCGGCCGTTTCCAGCGTCACTGAAGATAACCTCGAGGATACCAAGACCATGGACAAAATCGTTGTGATTGGCTACCTCGGATCTGACGACAAGGCCGCCAACGAGGCGTTCATGGCCTTGGCAGAGGCGCAGAGAGACAACTATCTGTTCGCCGCAACTGACGATGCGGCTATCGCAAAGGCTGAGGGCGTCAAGCAACCCTCGCTTGTCCTTTACAAAGACTTCGATGAGAAAAAGACCATCTACACGGGTGATATTGAGCAGGATGCTGTTCTGACTTGGGTGAAGACTTCCAGTACCCCTCTTGTGGGTGAGATTGGCCCAGAGACCTACTCTAGCTATATCACGGTGAGTCATCCTCTTCTATGCTTTCCCCAAATAAGCTGACTGACCTTGATAGGCTGGCGTCCCCCTCGCCTACATTTTCGCGGAAACGGCTGAGGAGCGTGAGAAGTTTACCGAGGAATTCAAACCCATCGCCGAGAAGCACAAGGGCCTCATTAACATCGCCACGATTGATGCCAAGATGTTTGGAGCTCATGCTGGAAACCTCAACCTTGATCCTCAGACGTTCCCCGCTTTTGCTATCCAAGACCCCGAGAAGAAGGCCAAGTATCCTTATGATCAGTCCAAGGAGGTCACCGCCAAGGATGTTGGAAAGTTCATTCAGGATGTTCTTGACGGCAAGGTCGAGCCCAGTATCAAGTCCGAGCCAATTCCCGAGACCCAGGACAGCCCTGTGACTGTTGTCGTGGCCCATTCCTACAAGGACCTTGTCATTGACAATGAGAAGGATGTTCTTCTCGAATTCTACGCTCCCTGGTGCGGGCACTGCAAGGCGTGAGTAACCATACCCGGAAACTAGGTTTGATGGTCGCTAATTGTTCTAGTCTCGCTCCCAAGTACGAGGAACTCGCAAGCCTCTATGCCGACGTTCCCGATCTCGCCTCTAAGGTCACTATTGCTAAGATTGATGCAACGGCCAACGATGTCCCCGATGCGATCACCGGCTTCCCCACAATCAAGCTTTACCCTGCCGGCAGCAAGGATTCCCCTGTTGAATACGCTGGGTCGCGTTCCCTTGAGGATCTTGTCAGCTTCGTGAAGGAGAATGGTAAGCACAAGGTTGATGCTCTTGTCAACGCCGAGGAAGGCGGCGAGGCCGCCGAAAGCCCTTCTGCTTCTAGCGAGACTGAGGCTCCGGCCGCCACTGATGACAAGGCCGACCACGATGAATTGTAAACTTGTCTTAATTAACGAGATCTGTAATCTTCAAATTGAACGTACTTGAATTTGTCTTGCCAGTAGTAGTACTTGCCATGCTATGTCGCTCTGTGTACCCCGAATTTTCTACTGCCGTAGATACTAACACATCTTGTCCGACCACATCTTTGAATTCGTAGAGAATAACTAATAATAATAGCTACCCCCCCAAAGGCCGACGAATAACGGACTTAGAAGACAATATTACCTGTCAAGATTCCTTAATTACACAACCGATAAACTCCAACGGACAAAAACCCCGGCACGTATACAACTCGCTGATACCTAAATCCTCACCGATATGAGCTGTAACAGAATAACCCGCATCACCAGCAGCACTCGAGCACAACACAATATCCTTTCCGTTCAATCGCTTGTCTCCGCTGCAGCCAGAGCCTCCAGAGCGTCTATGTCATCATCGAACTCGTCAGGTGGCGCATCGCCGTCTGCTTCCTCTGACGGTGTGGGAGCAGTTCCTCTCGTTGTAGGGGTCTTTGGCTTATCAACAACAACGGAGGGACTCTGAATTGTGGCCAAAGGAGAGGTTGTCTTCACATTTGATGTCAAACTCCAATCAATGACTTCGTCTGCCCCATAACGTTCAGCCAACCATTCGTTGCATTTCTTAAAGTGTTGATTGGTGAACTGAATTCACAGATTAGATCACTACGATTCAAGTCAAAGAGCGGTATCGAAAGAATGGCCACTTACAAAGCCCCTAGACGCGCTGAGCGGACTAGGATGGACCGACTGTAGCACGCAGTGTTTCTGCCGGTTAATGCTCGTCACACGCTTGCCTGCTGGGTTTCCCCAGGCAAGAAATACCACCCCACGAGATCGCACACGTGCTACTATATCGATGGCCTTTTGAGTAAGCCGTTCCCACCCTTTGTTTGAATGGCTGGCGGCCTGATGCGCGCGAACCGTCAAGCAAGTATTAAGCATTAAGACTCCCCGTTCCGCCCATGGAGTGAGTAAACCACCTTTGTTCGGCGGCTGTTCAAAGGAGGGGTAGTCATTCTTGATACCCTTGTAAATATTGACGAGAGATGGAGGAGCCGAAGTGGGAGGGCGAACGGAAAACGCCAAGCCATGGGCCTGGTTGTGATTATGATAGGGATCCTGACCGACTATGACTGCCTTCACCGTGTGTAGAGGTGTATGACGGGACCTGTCGGGTTTTCAGCACCGTGCTGATAACTTTGTCTTTTCGGATGAGCCTACCAGGAATAGATTTCGTTCTCCGGTGGGAAGACTTTAACCCCAGACCGCTTTTCTTTCTCAAGAAATTGCTTCAACGCCAGAAACTCCGGTGTAACTAGTTCGTCTTTCAGCTGTGCCAGCCAGCTGTCGTCCAAAGTTTCAATCTCGAGCCGAAGGAGTTCCGCTTGTTCTGGGGTTAACGACGCTATCCACTTCTGCTTGTTGAAAGTCGACGAAGGCGGGGTTGACGACTTGGGTTCAGCCGTCTTGACTTTGGCCTTCGGGGCACCGAAAAACGATGTGATGCTGCCATTGGCTTTGGGCTTCTTCGAGTCGGTGGCTGAGGCTGTCAAATGATTGGCATTGCGTTTCACACCTGTAGGGCTAGTCATGGTGCTTCCTAGTGTGCGTTCGTGTGCGGCAACAGAAAACGTGACGGGGAATAGATGATTGATATCTGCGATTGGAAGATGAAGCAATCAAGGTGTCAGAAAAATTGTAAGTAAATGTAGCAGACGTAGACGACTCACATGGTTGAGGACGAAGGATTTGACAGATATTAGGTAGGTATGTAGGTAATTGTGTGTGACTTCAAGATTAATGGTAGATTTGGTAGATTTGGTAGATTTGGAAATTCGATTCTTACCTAGACCTCTAGCGGCCTGGATAAGGTAGATAACTACCATGATAAGAAAGGTGATAGATCTTCCAAAGACGCGTCGCGCGTGTCCGGCGTCGCGCGTGTGAAGGAAGAGCTTGGATGGGTCGGTACTGTATGTAGGTACAGTATATGTACAGTACAGTACACCGTGTATAGTATCTGGTACCCAGTATGGTAAGGTAAGGTAATATATCTTTGGTGCATATTTTACCACTTATCACCAATCCACTCTTGGCTTCATCAATGAATTTTAGATCGATGATCTCCCCTATTACCCAATAGGCACCTGAGGGCGTGATGGAGCTTACCTGGTTTGCTGATTCTCCCCAAGCGCGTCGCAGGACTAGAGCTCCCCGTGCATGCGCTTCTTGTCAGCGAAGAAAGGTTGGTTGGTTTCTAGCTTGCTTCCATCTGCGGTATCCTCTCATGCATTAATGATACCTTGATGTATACGCATTTCATCTATGCACGCGGCTACGTGTCCCTGATCGCCATGCTTATAGGGTGCTCTGGAGTTCAAAAGCTAATCTCGCAATGGCTACGATCTAAAACAGAAGCGCTGCCGTCATTTGAGTACTGGGACTGGCCTGAGCCAATGCTCCGGGGAACGGCACAATGGAACTACTCCGCAGCCACCAGCCACTTCCTCGGATGCTGAGAGAGGTGCGCTGACGCCCGATATGATACCCTCGGAACCCCTTCACACAGAGCGTTTCGTAGGGGATCTCAACCCTGAAGCTGCAATTCGGGAGAGATTGGACGTCATGCCCGAGAACCAGCTTCGTGACCGGATCGGACTCTGGATCAACTCGCCTGCTACACAGAGCAATGAAGAAGGCCGATCACAGACTCTAGCATCCTTTCTACAGCATCGATGCGCATCCATAACCAGGGCCTTCGAGCGCCTTCCCCTCTCAACCCAAGATGGATTGATTCCGATCTATACCTCCAAAGTCAACCATATCCTCCCCCTTGTTGATAAGTATTCTTTCTCCTGTGCCCACGCGGCGGGAACGGCATCTGTATTCCTAGAAAAAGCCATGTGTCTCGTTGCGGCAAAAGACAGTGCAGCCATTTCCCACCTTCGGCTGGTGGCCAACGGCTCTCTCCTCTCACCAAGGGAATTCTGCTCCGAAATATACAAAGGCCTCGTCCTCGTGATGAATGACGGGCTCGAATCAGACCGGATCACTCGGATCCGTGTATTGGCGCTCATGTCTTTGCACTGTGAAGGCTATGAAGGAGCAGAAGCTGCCTCTATGCATCTTTGTCAGGCGATTCATCAGGCGCAGACTTTAGGATTACATCTCGATAGACCGGATCGGGCTACTTTTACTAGGGATTTATTTTGGTGCCTATGGACTCTGGACAAGATGCATGCATCCATAGGCGGCCGGCCTGTGCTTCTCGCAGACCGCGACATTGGTATCGAGAAGCCCGAAACTAGGACTACCGGCGCTAGAAGGGCATTTGATGTTTGGTTTGCCATCACAGAGTTGCTTTCGAGCGTGATTTCGTTCTATCGGCCAACCACGGATCATATAGTGGGTTGGGAGGCAGACTTTCCAACGTTTGAAGACATCATTGGTGACAACGTACGAGAAGATGTAGATTTTGCTACACTTGGTGCGTCTACCCTCTTTTGGGGTGATCTTTATATATACCGCCTAGCTTACATGAATCCCAGGCTTCCTCGAACTTTTTTATCATGCCGTTGGGATTCTATCCTGTAGATATAAACCATCCGATCGTCCTGACAGCTCCAAACCATCTTATACTCGGCAGAATCTCGCAGCCATTCGAATATACTCCATTGCTGCCACTGAATGTAGTCAACAGCTACCCCCGCTACCAATTGTCCCTTATGCACTAGCGTTATCGATGGGCGTCGCGTACCAGCAGTTTCGGTCAAGTAAATTGATCACTCAACTTAACCGAGCCAAAGCTAGCCTAGAGGCCTGCTGTTCTTTACTAGAAGACATAGGAAGCTGCTGGTATTCTGCAGAAGCAATGGCACGGCTGGGACGCAGGGCATTGGTCCTACAGAACGTGAGATCTGATAGTAATCGGGACCTCAGATCGCAGGGGACATCTCAGACCATGTCTGCTGCATCCGAGCAGCCAGAGAGTCCCGCTTCATGCTTGCCATTCTCGTTCCTTGAAGACACTGGGCGTATCGGCGAAGCGCCTCTCGACCCGTCAATACCCGCACCCACCCCTGACAGGCCTCTGGTGCCCGACGACAGCGAACCCGGCGAATTTGCCGATATTGACATGTTGTTTGGTGACTTTCTAGACTTATCCTTACCCACGAATTTTTGGGATCCTGTGTTCTTCTCGGACACACATCCGTGACGTGCTGCTTGGAGTTTCGACGAGCAAGCATCAATCCCGAACTGATCGGTGGAGACGGAATGAACTGCCGATCGTTATACAATGGAATGGAACCATTCTAATCTTGACCCTCTAAACCATTAACAAAACTTGCTCAATCGAGTCATCTACACCGGGTCAATAGCCTGATGGCGGGAAAGTAGATTAGTACTTAGTAGTCCGGCGTGAGTCAAATGATCCTCTCTATTAAGGCATCAAGATATGGCCTAAGGCCTGTTCAGTTAGTTAGTTCCTTTCGCTACTCCGAGTCCTCTTCTTCCTCTCCCCCCTTTCATCATCATCATTCATCCTCGTCTGCTTTGCTGATTGACCGGGTCGGCTCCCTCCCGTTTCCAAATTCCCCACCCACTTGGTTCGTCCACGGTCTCAGGTTTCAAATTGAGGGTCTGACATCCTCAGACCTCTCTGGTCTCGACCGAACTCTTGGTTCGCTCGCTTGACACGCCACGACTCAAGCGATCAACGATCAACGATCAACGACCAACTCATAGCTTTTCTTTCAGGCCCATTGTTCCCAGGTCTCTTTCTCCCCCTCCCTTCCTCGTTTTGGGACTCAATTGGCATCATTCCATTTCTCATTTTTTGACTTTTATTTTTATCTCCTGGATCTAATTAATTTCTTTTCTTTTTCCCCTCTCGTTTGCTCTCACACAATTCTCTTTGTCTTCTTTTCTATTTTTCCGCTCGTGTATGATCGAATCCCTATAGATCATGCTTGGCCTTTGAGTTATTTGCCTCTCTGTGTTCCACCTCGAACGCTGAATCGTGTGTCGCATCATTTAAACCGAATAGGTACTGTGTTGCTGCTTCGTGAAGGTCTACAGATGACTTCTTGAAGCACTTCGGACAGGAGAACCCTTGGAATGTGATTGACTTGAGCTGTAACCAAGCCTGATGGACCTTGACTGCGCGCTATTAAATTGGAGTCCGCCTTCGCAAAAGTAATTGGTTTCATTGCCTGCCCGCTCTGGTATGCGCAGGTGGATAGCCTAGAGGATCTAGAAAGTTGGATAGAGGAGAAATCTTGGTGACAGTAGATAGCTTCGCCTATCTGCTACTGTCTCATTCATGGCCCCAGCATCCAGCGATCCGGAACCATCTGCGACTTTTGCCGGTGCAGAATCCGAACGAGAACATGGTGCATTCAAAAAACATCTTGACCGAACCCCGGCCCACCCTATTCCCCAGCTTCAGGGCCCGTTTGAAGAATCCATGCTAGAGGCTCTCGAAGTCACTCGGAGTGAGTGGGTAGTGGAGCTAGATGCTCAGTCCCGCCGCAAGGATCTACTCGAATCTGCCGAGTATGAACGACTTTGTGGCCGTAAATGGCGCCAGAGGGCCGGCGAAAGGCAAGCACTCGGCCGTCTTCCAAAAGCATAGGTCCAACAAGACTGACCGTCGACAGGTATCACCCGTTTTGGAAGCTTATCTCCCAAATGACGTTCGGCGTTAGTCTCTTGACCAAACGATTGGCCAAGTCAGATGTAGAAGTTTTGAGAATCCTTCAAGCTCATGTTGACGAGATGGATGGGTTTTTGGGAAGAACGACGGAGGACTTTCTCCTAATCCAGGTTGACGTGCGCACTCGGATCCAGTATCTTAGCCTCCCACTTGGGAATCTTGAAGTCTTCGACGAGATGCTGAATGACCGCCAATTCCGCCGTGCCATGATCGGCTATAACGAAATGATCGAACATGCCGTTGACCGCTTTGCACAATCCGTCAGGGACACCCTCAAAGATATACAGAAAGGAAAGGCGGCAGTTAGCGCTCTCTGGCAATACCTTGGAGGCTCCGCAAGACAGAATGCTCCCCTATCTAACAATATCACCGCTGTATACAATGCGATGCTGGCGAACACGGAGGGGTGGAATGCCGCTTTTTCCAAACTCCGCCGAAAAGGTGTTGCCCTCGAGTCCGCACTCTTGCAGCTTGGCCTGACCATAACCGAAATGCAACACCGCGTGGGCGTGGCAAGCAGGAAGGAAGTAGTAAGATGCCTTACCCCTTCTATAGTCACACCTTGAATCCTGACGCAATGCTATAGGTATCCTTGATGCGTTCTTCAAATGCTTCTCCTGGAGGCAAACGGCTTCGAGATCGTCTTTTCGAGAGAGGACTGTCCATCAGAGTCTCGACGCCCTCGATTCCAGAAAAGCCTCTGCCATGTGACCCAGGGCTCCCGGTAACAACGAGCATGCCGCCACTGCCCAGGCAAGCTGAACCTCACCGAATGCTGCAGAAGAGTGTCCCAAATCTACGGGCCTCCAAGTCATCTGACAATTGTTACCGAAATAACCCCCTGCCAAGCCGGTCAAGATCAATGAACGGTTTTGTGAACACTGCAAATTCCATTATTTCACTATCCAACTTGCGACGCTCAAGCAGTCGATTTTCAAAGGTCAAACCCACCTTGAGGGAAAGCCAAAACGAAGATGACGGGGTAGCACCAATGCGACCCTCCACAGCGCCCTCTAGAACACTCAGAGCGCGAAGTACGTCTGTCGAACAATTGAAAGCTTTTTGTAAACCCAGAAAAGACCAGCAGCAACACGTGGCAATGTTACCTGAGTCCAAAAGGCCCTCCACAGCGCAAGCGTCCACCAGAGGAGAGACAATGAAAGAGCAACTCCTGCAGTATTTCAAAGGAGATCGAGTTATGGATGCATGGGAGAGTCGGCCTCAACAAGAGAAGATTGCGAGTCAGAATTGCCAGACAAAGGGTGATCTGTGGAGTAGATTTCGTGATAGGTCGTCGAAAATCCCTGGCAACCCTGGCAACCGTGACGACCAACCGACGAACCTCCTCGACGATGACTTGGGAACACAGATGGCCTGGTTACAAGACGAAACGAAATCATTGAACACTTATTCGTTGAAACCAAGGCGTGATGTGGCTCCTCGAATCCACGTCCTCTCGGACCCCATAAGCTTAGCTCGTGGACTCGAGGAGGCTGGCGGTTCTAGGCATCAAGACGAGATTGAATCCCCAGAAGGAGATACGCAATCGATTATTACAGCGCTTCCGTTGGTGCCACCTCCACTACCGCACCAGTCAGTATCGCATCAGAACTAGCGCACTTGACTAAAATCTAAAAAGAAGAAGAAAAACATTCACTGAGATCCCCTCAAACCGTTCAGTTGGTCGCACCAATGACCCAGTAAAAATCAAATCGAACTGGACGGGTTTGAAATATCCAGCCTCTTGCCGGATAAGTTTGGCCCTGGGCTCAAGCTCTTTGTTGCACGTGAATGAAGCTGAATGAACTTTGAAGCGTCGATTTTTGCTCTTATATCCCTACTTGCCCATACAAATGGGCAGAATGAATACAGACCTATCGTGAATTTACCGCTTTTATGTAATAGCAATAATAGCATCTTCATATACCACACTTGCAGACAGAGAATAACAACTTGAAGACATTAATCGTACAGACTGTTCTGGCATACCCAGGCCTTGTTTTTATAGAGCACCCAAGAGACAAAATTCGACCCAAGAAACTCCGAAGCAGATTTGGGGTTTCTACTGGGGATGTGGCAGAACATGCGAGTCATCATTGATATGTATAGTATGAGTTTCCTACAACTACCAGAGGATGCAAGGCACGACAAATGATGGGTGAAGAATGGATATAGTAAAAGAAAACAAGACCCCCGCCCTACTTGCAGCGCTTCTCGACAATATTGGGACCGTGCTCGTCGTACTCCTTCTTGGAGATCCACATTTGATGGAAGGTTCCCAAACTGGCCAGGATGCTGCCACCGATCCAGGAGCCAAATCTACGCTCAGCCGTGTTTCCTGGCGCCGAAATCCTCACCCGTGGGCCGGGGTAGGTTTGCATGAGCTCCTGGTTGAGTCGATCGGTGAAACCGTAGAGTAGGGTCGATGCCCCAGTCACGACAACGTTAGCGAGCAAATGGGGACGGATGTCGACGTCTACATTGTTCAATGCATTCTTGATGAGTTCGGGGACGGTTTGGGCTTGAGTTGGAGCGGGAAATGTCGATTCGGGATCGTGAATCGCGGCTTTGGCGTCGAACAAGGATTCAACCACCTTATAGCGGTCGACGCCAAAAACTTGGTTATAACCGTCAGGGAACTCAAACGGACGCCCGGGGCTGCTTTTGGCGATCTCCTCGTTCGAGACCCCGTTCGGACCAGCGGCAAGAAGCTTGTTGGGGCCCGGCCACACCTGGACCACACATTCCTTGAACTCCGAAAGAGTCCGCTCTTCAAGAAGTTCCCGATAGGAAGCGTCGGGCGCTTGCTCCGACGGAAATGTCCTGAGTTTAACCTGCGGGGGCTGGCCTGCGTCCACGGCGGTCTTGGAGGATATGAGGTAGTGAGGCGTGATGGTGATAGGCTGCGGGGTGTTCGATTTGAAGAACGCTCGAATCTGCGTTGAGATGTAATCGCCTCCCAGGGGTGAATGCTGAACCCCGCGTTTCAAGATCATGCCATCATGCACCGGGGTTACAGATATGTTTGAAGCGCCTATATCAACCACCAAGGCGGACGCCTTGCCGGCAGCGAAGCTAGAGAGGGAGCGTGAGCGTGAGCGAACAAAATCTTCGAGAAAGAGAGACAAGAACTTACGACGCAAGAACACCGTTCCTTGCGAGGTAAAAGGCCGGTGTGCCCCATTTCTCCATAGCAATTTCGATTGTCTTCTCGCGCGCTTTGGTGGGATTCCAGCCGCACTCAGACATCAGGAGAGGACTATCTGAAAGAGGCTTCTCTTCAGCCTCCACACCGTCCATCTCCGTAGGCAGCTCGCCGTCCGGGACGTCGTTCAGGCCATTCTGAAAAGGATTCCCAGGCTTTGCACCCGTCAGTCGCGACGTGAAGGAGTACTCCCATACTTTCTCCGCCATATCCCAATCCTCCACGATTCCATCCCTGCCGATCGGGTTGTGAATGGACAGACCGGGGCGCGGAGTAACGAAGACATCGTCGCCGAAGATGAGCTTTTCTTGTCCGTCGGAGGTGTATTTCCCGTAGTACGAAGGGATCAGAGATTTTGGCGTGTCTTCACCCGCAAAGCCTGCGCGAGTTGTTGAAAATCCGGGGTCGAGTACAATGGCAGAGACCTCATCTGTGCGAGAGTGCGATAGTTAGCATAGAGTATGGCGCACGATTGCAGGCAATGCAAGCAAAGACACAACAAATGGCGCTCATGGGCGACGACTTACCTCCGCCATATTCGGCCGTCGACGGTGGAATGGAAGGGTTCATGTTGAAAACACGCGCGGGCGCGACAAGTCGGGAAGTTCAAGCGGGGACAGCTTTGCTCCAGTTTCACAGCGGATTCGCCTTGGGCTATATCGACAAGCGCAGAGTTGTGGAAGTCCGGGGAGAAAGGACTGGCTAGACAGCACGGGATTAAGTGGGAGAGTAATTGAAAGGTCCCTTTGGCGGATGCGGCGGGCGGGAAACCTTGGACGGGCGTTGCCGCAGCTGTAGGTAACTCTACCTAGGCTAGACTACCTACCGGAGTCCCTTCACCCTCTCTCCTCAACCTATTCACCCTCCCTTCCCCTCCGGTTGATCGTTTCCTCTCGCAACTCTCCAATACAAGTATGGACATGGAGACGAACGCCAATCCTCAGTCAGAGACGTTTTTTCGACCGCCGGCGAAGAAAAGAAAGTTCCTACGACGCCGGGCTGAGGACCTGCCGGAGGATGGTGCAGACGACAGCCTCCCAGTTGCGCCTCGGTCTCGATCTCAGTCCCCACGAGATACGCCGCAAGATGCTACGGCCCCTTATGACTTCATTCGCCGGCGACGGCTTCATCGAGCCCGCAAAGGTGGTATCGAATTCTCCGCCACCTCGCGGCAAACGACAGTCACGGCGAACCAGTCTGCTTTATCTTCGGCAACTACGGAAGAACTAGAGACTGAGAGAATTCAATCAATGTGTGATCGGTTCACGGCCCACACAGGACAAACGGTGGATGTTGACAGGCACATGTACGGACCCGCGCATTAGTGTTTTAGCTCACGCTTCTCTTTCCGCCTTGCAATGGAAGCTAACAAGATAAGGATGACGTATATAGAATCGGAAATGGCCAAGCGGAATCAACGAACTGGGCTGACGGATGCAACCGACTCCGATACTGTCGGGACAAAGGAAGCCAGCGGTGCACCGCTTTCCTTGGATCTCCCGCAACGCGAGCCTGCGTCACTGGGTAAGCTGCACGAAATCGATCTCGGCCAGGAGACCAAACTGGAGAATATCGCGCGGACGGAGGCTGCTACAAGAAGACTCGCTGGTGGCGACCACGTGGAAGACGCGCAACCCCGAGATGACGAGTTTCCCTCGAAGAACACCTCCACACATGATAGGAAATCATGGCGTCACCAAAAACGGCGGACTAGTGAGGATGACCAGAGAGACAGGCTGGTTGAAGAAGTTTTGCGTGAAAGCAGGCGTAAGTTGCCACACATCGAAGCCCCCCCCTCCGTCGGCTTCCAGTAACTTATACATTTCCCTAGTCGATGTTTACGATGAACCTGCGGAAGAGGATACGACCGTTGCCGATGACCAAGCTGCCGATGACAAGGTTGCCGAGCAGTTTCGGAGGGATTTCCTCGATGCCATTCAGTCCCGTCGTCGGGTGGCACGAGCGCGAAACACCAAAACCACCAAGCCGGAAGCGCCGCGCGGTCCTAAACTTGGAGGTAGTCGCAGTGCTAGAGCTGCGATGCGAGAGATGCAGGATAAATCCGGGCGAAAATGAAAATATTCCGCGACCACCTTCTGTTGCGCCGATGCTGTCGAAGGACAGATCGAAGGACAAGAAAGCCGAAAGCCCTTCCCCAGAGAGCAGAGAGCAAGCAGCCCGTGCGGCCCTCATACCAGGCATACCCTCCGCCGACTATTTGAGATATACATTACAAAAGAGCTATCGTCATGGGTTCCTCCTCCAGCTACATAGAGGAGCAGGCAGCAAGCAACGCAGCGACAATCGGCTGAGGGTCGTGATAGCAAGTAGTGCACGGTCACGGCACTGCGACGGATACCTACAGTACTTGGAGAGGAGCGGGACCTCGAAAACCACCACTAGATAGCCGTTAGTTCGATCTCACGGACCATGGAACGGGAAAGCACTATCTTCTTGTCTTCGATCGACTCTTCCTTGCTCGAGGGGAGGGCATACGGTTCACCGGGTAGTGTGGTGTCGAAGTGTAGATACTACCTATCTAGGTAGATAGAGGGTGGAGCCAACCAATCGGTAGGGAATTAGCGTCCTGGAATGCTGGAAGCTTAAGTACGGAGTAGCGCATGTCACCTGGTGAATCGTGAATTATGGAATCTTTAGTGCGTCGAGGTCTTCGAATGATAATGGGATTGGGAAGCCGATATTCCACTCCATATGCACTACCGTGTACTACAACGTACTACATGTACTGCATCGGACTACTGAATTGCCCAGAGGGAAATTGGCCGGACTGGACTGAGGGTTCGTTTCCACTTAAGCTGACGCAGATTGAGTGCCTCGTAATGTGTTTGTAATACGGCGTACGGTACCCGCCACAGCCCAAGGAGGCGCGGCCCCATCTGGACCTGAGTCTAGACGCCTCCAAACCCGCGACGAACCCAATCAAGTTAATCAACTCGCCCGTCGCGGCTGGTCTTGAGACATTCAGGGGCAACGGACTCTCCCTAGGGGCTTATATTTAGTAGCAGTAACACTGGTGAATAGGCCCCCCCCAAATAATAATAATAATAATAATAAGCCCATTGCAACCCGCTTCCACAAAAAAAAAAGAGGGAAAATCTTTTTTGTCTTTCACGCTATTTATTCTATATATATTATACTCCCGAGTATGTGTATAGTGGTACTGTATTAGATTGTCTTCAAGGCACTCAGTGTAGTGAGCATATCATTTCATGCGCATTGATGATTATACTCCGGACCGGGTGATCCCTGCCTGAATACTGTACACCGTATGCACCACAAAGAAAAAAAAAAAAAGTAGAAAAAATAAAGGTCAAGTGTTGATGATGATTACCACGTCAGGTACGGTAATTCCTGGTACCGGGTAGTGACTTTTACTAGGCACAAACCTACCTTACCACCTAACCTACCCGTGGACACTGGACTACCAGCCCGCCTGCACGGTCTGCCTTGTTCTTCGGTCTTCCCATCAGTCACCAAACTAAACTCTCGATAATCCGTATCCTCTTCCTGTTCTTCTCTTTCTGTGTTTTTGCTTCCCCGTCTTTTTTCTCGCTTGCTTCATCTGGTCTCTCATTCATTTATTTATCTATTCAATTTGATTTGATTCTAGAGATTTCTTTCTTCTCGCCCCCACCCCCCAATTCTATCATTTGTTTGGCATCTACTCCGTACATAACGGTGCTGTGCTACGGATTCCCCCTCTCCGTTGAGCACCCTGTCGCTCTCTCCCCCTTTGAAGCGCCATTTTCAGATCGATCCATCGAATCCAATCGCGAACAGTCACTTTCTCTCCCTACTGCCAATCCTCTGGCTCCCGCACTCTTTCCCTCTGCCTCGTCCATCCGCTTCTTTCCCTTCTCTTGGCTTTGTCGAGGAAGAAAGGAGAGGGCGTGACAGGAGACGGAGCGCGAGAGGACTGACTTGTCTCGGCTTTGCTCGCATTGCCTCTCTTTCTTTTCGGGACTTTCGTCCAACATCCCGCATTGTTGATCGTTTCTTTTCGGGTGTCACTGATCAACAGTCTCTTTTCTCATTCTGCACAGGTTGATCCTGTAACACTCCCTGCTACTGCGAACTGGCCGAGTTGCCTGTCAGATAACGCGGATTTTGATTTCACTACACCATTTTAATACTTAACCGGTTCCACCAACTGTTTTCTCCCTTCCGATCTTTTTTTTCTTTTCCTCTCTTTCGCCCTTCAATACTCTTACTTCGTTCCTGGCTGGCCCGCGACATTTGTTGACAATAATGCGGATATTGTCCTGTTCACGACTCGCCCTAATCGGGCTGAGTCTTTGGCCCGCTCAGATCCTCGCAGCGGATACCCTCAGTACCGATAGCGTATCTACCTGCCTGACAGGATCCGCTATTGAGGTCCAGAAGATGCATATTACTTATACCAAGTCTACAAGACAAGTTGTTTTTGATGTGTCAGGAACGAACGAGAAAGAGCAGAACGTCACTGCGTCTTTGGAAGTCTTCGCCTATGGTAATTCAGTTTACACCAAGGACTTCGATCCTTGCAGCAGTGACAATCATGTCGCTGAGTTGTGTCCTGGTTAGTTACCACATTCCGTTGCCTAAATTTTGATTACCTGTGACTAAATATGATCATGTCCTTTGCAGTTCCTTCCGGTACCTTCTCAGCATCTGGATCTCAGCAGATTCCAGAGTCGTTTGCGAGCCAGATTCCGTCCATTGCCTTTGCTATACCCGACTTGGATGGACAGGCAAAGCTCCAGTTGAAATCGAAGAATGACGGTAAAGAGATTGCCTGTATCCAGTCGTCGCTGTCGAATGGCAAGTCCATGCAAATTCCTGGCGTCTCCTATGCTGCTGCTGGTGTGGCAGGCGCGGCCCTCGCGCTAAGCGGATTGTCTGCCATAAGCGCTGCAGGTCATCCTGGCGCCCATTCATCTAGCCCCGGCTTTGGTGATGTAATGGGGTGGTTCCATACCATGGCAACCAATGGTATGCTCAGTGTGAACTACCCTACCGTGTACCGCAGCTTCTCGAAGAACTTTGGCTTCAGTACCGGGTTAATACCGTGGGGACAGATGCAGCAGTCCATCGATAACTTTAGACAGTCCACCGGCGGTAACCTCACCCAGGCCAGTTACGAGTTTCTCCGCAACGCAACGCTGGAGTATGGTGATGGATCATCGTCGAACTCGAGTTCCAAGGCCAAGCGAGGATGGAATATGGTCGTAGGGGCCGCGGAGCTGGCTACGCGGGACCTTTCAACTTCCTATGACAACTCGACTGCTGGCAATGTCACGGGCGATGTGACAAGCGATTTCAAGAAGACTGTGTCCGGCATTGAGGCGTTTGCGGCGCAACTGACCGTGCCGCAGGCAAACATATTCATGACCGTTTTGTTGATTTTCGCTATTGTCGTTGCCGCCATCGCTGTCGGCATCTTGCTCGTCAAGGTTATCCTTGAGCTGTGGGCCCTCTATGGCTCATTCCCCCAAAAGCTTACGGATTTCCGCAAAGACTATTGGGGCATCATGGCCCGGACGATTACCAACTTGATTCTCATTCTATACAGTATCTGGGTACTGTATTGTGTCTATCAGCTCACCAACGGAGATTCCTGGGCCGTCAAGATTTTGGCCGGTGTCACGCTTGCCCTGTTCACGGGCGTTTTGTTATTCTTTGGTTTCCGGATCACGCATTTAGCACGCAAGTACAAGAAGTCGGAGGGAGATTCCTCAAGTCTGTACGACAATAGAGACACATGGCGCAAATACAGCCTTTTCTACGACAACTACAAAAAGGACTACTGGTGGCTGTTTGTTCCCGTGATCGTGTACATGTTCGCCAAAGGATGTATCATCGCAGCTGGTAACGGCCACGGCCTGGTGCAGTCTGCCGGTCAGCTCATTGTCGAAGCACTCATGCTGGCGCTTCTGTTATGGAATCGGCCGTATGTTGGTCGGTCGGGCCAATGGATCAACATCAGTATCCAAGTGGTCCGCGTGTTGTCGGTCGCCTGTGTCTTGATTTTCGTCGAGGAACTTGGCCTTTCGCAGACGACCAAGACCGTGACCGGAATTGTCCTCATCGTGGTGCAATCGGCTTTGACAGGTATTCTAGCCATCCTGATTGCTACGAACACCATCATCCACTGCTGCCGGGAGAATCCTCATGCTAAGCGGAGAAAGGAAGCCGGTAAGTTTTTAAACACAGAAGCCGTCGCGTTATCCCATTATTAACTAATGACTGCTCTCTTAGAAAAATTGGACCGGGATATGGATGATCTCACGCCGTTGGATGCGAGGGAATCACTTCTAATGGACCACCCGCCGCGCAAGGACTACGCTGAAATGAATAAATTCAATTCCACCGGCCCTTACGAGCCCTATCGCGACCAGCACGAACCCATTTCGCGGCATAGTCCCACGGGGAGTACAGACCGCCTAGTCGATCCGAGTTACGGCCAGGACGACCGAAACGGTCGAAGTCTAAGCCGACTCAGCAGGGAAAGTCGGGCGTCTCCTGATGGGCGTAAAGCTACCACTCCAGGATATGGCTTTGCCTATTAGGCCATTCCACTGCGTGTGCACGGGCTGTTATGATATATACCATTGTACATTTTTCTCTTCTCCTTCTCTCCTTTTTCTGTCGTGACTTTCCTCTTTCCTTTTTTATCTTCTTGTCATTTTTTTGTTCAAAAATTTTTTTTTTCCATCTGTTTTCCCACCACACCTCCCTCCATTTTCGCTTTCCCCAATCACCTCCCGTTTTCTTGGAGGGTTGTTGGGCATATAGACATACACATATCTCTGTCGGTTATTTTTGGACGAACTTAAGCGGATTTGATATATGTATTACAATTTGCTCTTTACTTTTCTTCGACAGTCTCTTTGAACCTAGCCAAAGCAAACCTCGTGTCACTTGTTAGCCTGAGCCCGTACTGAAAAGCATTCTTGTGATCGTGTGCTGACATTAGTGGATTCTTCTCGTGGCCGAGATAGCCTAACCGAGCGTTCTAGCTGTAGAATGGCCATGTTCTATTTCGTGGGCTTCTTTACGGTGCAGAGCCGAGTAGT